TAAGTAATAGAAATTTTCTCCCAGCCTTAACACGCCGGGGTTAAATTGATTACTGATGATCTAGAAAACAATTATTTCAAACAATTAGGTATGATGATACTTCAAAAATCTTGGCACCGGTAGCAGACATGTCACGATGGTGGCAGCTTGGAAGAGTTTGGAGCAGAAAAAAAAAGGAGCGGGAGACTGCCGATACAAAAAAGATCGGAGAAATGAATGCAGACTAAATTATGTTTATATATTGATTAAATTTACTAACATAGAGGTTCATTTGATTGTAGTTATCTCATATGATTTTAATTTAAAATCATCAGATTTGATGAAGGATTCAACTTGAAATCATTAGTTAGGATTGCAATCTTCTTTCGATAATTTTCGATTTAATCAAAAGACATAACAAATTCCAATTGTTTTTTTTAATTGAAGATATAATTTTTTTTCCTTTTTAATAAATGAAAAAATTTGAGAAAATTGCAAGTCCTACGTGGCAAGTGGAAATTTATCACAGTTTCCTCTCTCTGAGTTTTCTATTATTAAGTTATATAGATTCAATTTGGGGAGGAAGTCGATTGTTTGGGAAGGAATGAGTTTGACTGATGGGGTTTACTTGTTAAAGTAAATCACAAGCCTTTACTGTAACAAGTAAATAGTAAAAAGAAAAAAATAATAGTAAAAGAAGGTAAATAAAAGCTCAAGAAAACAAAAAGTAAAAAGTTATGATAAATCTGTAGAATTTTTTGCTGTAATGGGACTTGGTAAAAAAAATAAAATTATTTCTTATATTTTGTAGATTTTAGAATTGAATGATACAAAATACAAGTGAAACCAAAATACATGTTGGATCCACAAAAGGGAAAAAGTGAAAATTTTGAAATTTGAAATTATTTTGATTTATATGTGGTATTCCAAAAATACCCCTGACATGAGTTGGGTCAACGATGATCATGACAAAAATTGTAACGGAACAGTGAAAAGGGACTAAAATAGTTTCAAAATGAAATGTAAAGGCTCAATTCATATAAATGAGGGGACCAAAATTTAAATTCGGGCAAATGTAGGAGATCATTTCTACAATTCAGTCTTATCTAAAATACTCTTACTATTAAAAAAAAATATGACAAACATTCATTGATTGACAAGTTAAGCATAAAAAATAGTCTTACGACGAACAGAAATTAATGTATGCAAACAAAATCAACAAAAAAAAAGTGTCAAAATGACATTTGTAGCTCAAAGAAATATTTCATAATTTTTTTTAGAGGTCTAATAAAATCAAGCATTTATTTTCAAATCCAAAATTTAGTTTTTGGAAACCCTTTAATATACTAACTCCTAAAATTCAGGGACTGCAAATAATGGATTTCGAATTTAGAATTACTTATTTGACTTTATTAGAGTTTTTTGTTAAAAAAGAAAGAAAATTTCGTGGAGGGTTTTGTTGGGGTATAACTGTCCATTTGATACTTTTTGAATTTTGAATTTAGAAGTACTTATTTGATTTTATCTTTTTTCAGTCACTGGACGACCTTTTTGATATTTGACTTGTCAATTTAGAGATATTTTTCTATATATATATATATTTTTTTTTTCAAATAGTAAAGATATATTTTAGATAATGAACTAATTAAAGTTTTAGGGTTTTTTTTGATGTTAACCATTTTTTAGATATTTTCTTCTACCTTCAATTCATTTAACTAATTATAACGTCACTAAAAAAGAAAAAAAAATAGTTTATACTTAAGCAAATATAACAAATTGCGATAAATATATAATTTACGGGCTATAAAAAAATTATACAAACAACGTGAACGTAATCATAATCCTTCATATTCATACATTATTCGAAAATTTATTTATTTAAGGTAAGACATATAGTACATATTCTTGCATTTTTTTTTCCTTTTTACATTTGTGTCATGTATATCAAAACTCATTCTATTTTTGTGCAAATAAAATGTATATTAACGGCAAAAACCTATGATTTTTCAACATTAGTGATTGCCTCAACGTCAGCTCACACTCCATTCCAAGACTACTAGAATTATCCACGTGCCTTGCACGGATGGTGTTATATATATTGTGTAAATTTATAAAATTATGTGCACATGTGAGACGAGCGTTATCGTCATAATATGATAAAGTTTGTGTCATGTTTTATAATATAATAATTCTTGTCAGTGTTTTGTTGTGTAAATTATATTAATCTTTCTCTATGTTTTACATTCAAGATGGTGTACATTTTAAAAAGTAAAATATTGGTATGACTCATTCGTAGTAAAATTTTAAAAGTAATCATCGATAATATTTGTAATAAGTAGTGTAATTTCGTAAACTTTTACAAATTAATTTAGTAAACTGAAAATGAAAGTTTTAGCAAACTCAAAAGGAAAAAAATGTAATGATTATAATGTTTTATACAATATTTCTTTAGTAATATTTTTTCGTTAGATTTTTCTGAATAATACTACATTTTATACATATTTGATGGTTTTTCATCCAATGAAATAAATTTTATTATTTCTTTAAAAAAATTTCCACCACAGTGAACTCTGCTTAAAATGTGAGAAAAATCATTCTTAGCAACCACTAAAAAAACTAAAAATAATTAGCAATAGAAAAGATGAGTTTTCATTATTAATAAAATAGAAATATATATGGAATGTACTACAGATAGGTGAAATGCATGGGTGAGAAATAAATTGAAATAACTAACTTACAAAAAAAATTTAATACTTTAATGAAAAGGCGTCTTTGGCGTTGACACGTGCCAAAAAAAAAAGATTCTAAGCTTGACATGTTGCAAAGGAGATTCTGAACTATTTGAGCGACACGTGTAGATTGAAAACTGAAGACTTTGCAATAGTTTAGTGACTATTTACGCGTCACCCACCATCGCCGCTCGCCGCCCACCATCGTCGGCCAGTGACCAAACCACCGCCGGTCGGCCGGATTCCAACCAAGGCCGTAATTTAGCTGGAATCCGGCCAGCCGATCACCACTGGCGGCTAGGGCTGCTAATTTGGTTCAGGTTAATCGATTTTTTCCCTCACCAAACTCGTTCGAAACTGAACCGCAAAATATACATCATTGAACCGAACCGGCCAATTAAAAATTCGAATTAATCGGTTCGATTTTTGGATAAACCGGATTTAACTATACAGAAATGAGACTCCGCCTCTTTTTTCTTCTGAATCCTTCAATGAGTCAAAATTTAAAATTCTCACAATTACAAACATTCCATACCAATTCAAGAAGAAAGCACAAATAATAAACCCGATTCAAAAATTTTGAAAGCTCATATCTAAAAAAAAAAGAATTAATTTTCAGAAAGCCTATAAACAAAAACAACAATTCTAAAATTTCAAGCCTCCAAAAGTTCAAATCTTGAACAAAGAGGGGGAGATCGAGAGTGAAGGACAGTCGAACTTTGTAACCCAACTTCCTCCTCCTCTTTCTTTCTCATTTTTCCGCCGTTGTCTCTCTTCTACTTCTTTTAGGACGGTGACAAATCTGATGTCTTTTTTGGACGAGTGACGGGGGACAATTGGAGATTTGGATATGGTGAAGTGAGAATGAAGATGAAGGGATTGATGTTGTGGATATTTGAAAATGGTGAATGGATAATGGAGATGAAGATTGATACTGGGGCGTCGGCTACCAATTATGAAGAAGTGAAGAAAGAAAATAGGATGAGAAGGAAATTGGTAGGGTTAGTGATATATATAGATATGTATATATATATATATATTAATTATTGTTATTTTTTAAAACTGATAGCTCGAGTTTTCAGGGAGGGGTCGAAGTAAATTTTTTCTCGCTCGCACCCGCACTGAATACTCTCCCCCGATTAATTAGGTAGAATAAAAAATCCTGAAATTCACCCGATAATCCGAACTGTTTGCCCCAAAACGGGTTCGGATCGGGTAGGTTTTCGAGTTCACCCGATTAACCAGCAGTCCTACTAGCAGTGGTTCGGTAGCTGGCGATGGTGAGTGACGCGTCGACGGTCACTGAATTATTTTAATTTCATAAATGGTCGCTATACTAAAAAAATTATTATTTTATTTAAAATATTATCCAAACAATTTTTTAAATTTTTACTCAAACTATATTTCAAATCTCCTTCCAAATTTGAATAAAAAACTCATTAACTATTCAACCACAAAAGTACGCAATGAAATATTTTTTCCATGCGTATCTGCTCATTGACTCTTAACCGCCCAACATTGTTCGATCTCAAATTAGTACACTAATCTAGCATGTTTTACACTTTTTCTCAATTGGCCAACATAACGGATTCAAGGCTTCCTTAATCTTCTTCTTACAAAATACTTACAAATTAACTATCAATAAGTAACGAGACGCACTTTTACTCGTATAAAATTTATAAATAAGTATTTATTTTGTTACAGTAGTTCACTTGTTATTTTATAAAAAAAAATATCGGTCCATGCATCTTGATTTGACTTGAAAATTTATGTGCAAATAAGAACGAATTTACATATAATATGCTGATAATTAAATTCGTGCTATCTACCAAAGTTGTAACAAAATCTTTAGAGAAATGTATACATTTCAAAACCATTTTTAAAATCTTTCACAAAATGACGCTCCCCTTGGAAATTAGGAACTCAATTATTCAACTTCCCCAAAATACCCACTAAAAATCTTCAGATACACGCCCCCTTCACAAAAAGGAAAAATAACGTTAGAAACTGATAATCTCCGAAAAAAGAAAATAATCGTGTAATTTAATTTCCATAATTAAATACTGTTAATTACTGATATCACTGACTGAAAGAAGCATGACGCATTAAATTATGTGGTCAGTACTCTTTTCTCCATTTTACCCTTTCCCCAAACACATGTTTCACGGCCGCTCCCTGTCCTTTCTCGTGATTTCACCGATGAGTACCAAATTTCTTACTGAGGTGAATTTCTCTTTTACCGTTTTATTACAAGAACTCTCTCATCGTCGTCATCTGGGAAAAGCGGAAAAAAAAAGAAGAGTCAAACCACTTCATCTGTGTTGGTTTTCTCTCTCTAAATCTATACATACAAAAAAAACTGCCATAAATAGATATATATATACATATGTACATGTATCTCTACGAATTCTCTTGTTGATTTTTCAATCCCTAAAAAAAAAATTGGGTCTTTTTTTTTTCCCACATTCGATTGTCGATTTTCTTCTTCTTCTATTTTGATTTCTCAACTTCTCTCTCTTTCCCCCATTCCTCGAATTGTTCCCTTTTTTTTTCCTCTTTCTTGGAATTAGTAAGCCCGAAAAAACCCTAGTTTTCAAATAAACTGAAAAACCTCTCTGAACCCTAGTTTTTGTTGAAGAATTCGGTTCGGAGTGTGTTGAGCTGGAGATTCGAAGTTCCACTGGCGATACGGATTTGGTTGTTACGGGAAATTTTTATGTTTTTTGTTCCTTTTTTTGAGGTAATGAAATGGGGAATGATGAATTCTGACTGAAGCTGTCAACTTTTTTGATCATTGAAAAAAATTTAGTTTCCTGATTTTGTGGATTCTCTTGGGGTGTTTTTTTATATATAGTTTTGTTAAGTTCTTAAGTAGAATTGAATTCAATTAAATTTGGAATTGCGCGGAAGTTTAAATGCTCTTCTTTTACTTGACTGGTACGTCGTACTTGGTATCCTGTACTGATGTGAACTAGTTACGTTGTTGTTTAAGAAGCTGCTTCCCTCTCCCCTTTCTGGGTTTTTTTTTTTGGTTGCTTGAATCCTCATTGGATCAGAATGATTTGCTGTAGTAAGATCAGAATAATTTTACTCTAGTAAGATGGCAGTGAAACACTTTCACTTTCGTAGGGTTACGGTTTTGGGAAATTGTACTGCAGCTAGATGATTTCTTGATGGTACTGACTTAAAACTGTTAGTGACTTAAGGCACTGTTTTGTGACATAAGGTTATGGGACCTACATTAGATTTTCATTCCATTTCTTGTTGCGCGCCTGTAATGGCCGACTTTTGTTTGATTTATGCTGGTTTTGAGAGTTAACTTTTATCGGGTAATTTTTCGGAGGTGAGGTATAATAATTTGGCATGTATCAACTGAGTTTTGCTTTAATTTTTCAGTGAAGGCCTTTTGCATGCCGTAGTGTCTATAACCTCTAGCATTAGTGGAGGAAAAATGAGCTAGCAGAAAAAGTCCAATGTCTATGTTGAGCTAGTTTCTGAGTTTCCTTTTTTTGGGGGAGGAGTGAAGATTAACTTTTTTTTTTTATCCTCAATGTCAAAACGAGTCTTTTAAACTGTGTCGGTCTTGTTGGTTTTTTGTCTGATTGATATCTAAAATTTGCTGTGCGCATATGATGGCTTTGTGTATATAGGTTTGAGTTGCTGGATTTCTATACATTGCTGATATGAACGTTACTCTGAGTGACTGGATTCCCATCCTTTTCATGTTTTTATGTGGCACTCATAAAGATTATCTTTTTTCCTTATTCAAATATTCTTGCATTTACTTTAGTGCTTAAACTTATCTACATTCTGTACCTTTATGGTTCCAGTACTAGTATAAACTTGCAACCAATTATTCAGTTATATTGAATTTTTAGTTAGGACTGGATGTAGCTCCCACTGCTAACTGATTACCCTGAAATGGGATTCCTTTTGTTGATTATTACTGATTTTATTCCAAATGTATCGCTTCAGTTTTATGATTTTTGTAACATGTTCATGATCTCCTCTTGTGTTTATCAGAATTTGCCAGCATACTTTGCTGAGGTTCGATGCTGAAGTCAGCATGCAGATAACAGCTGGGAGAGATGCAAAGGTATCATGCTACCAGCTGCACTAGTGCAGTTAATAACAATAGCGTTGGTGGACCAGCCAGGGACATTCCCCGAGCCGAGTCATCAACAACGCCAAACTATTCCCTGAATTCCAGGTACAGCAATGATGATTTTGTTTAACCTTGTTTAAGTGCTACTCCTGAGTCCTGGTTCTTTTTGCATGCTTTATGTTCAATGCTTGACACTCAAGTAAGGCAATGCTGGTATAGCCTTTCATCCTAATACGAAAGAGAACAGTTTTACTTTTAGGGATAAGTTATATTCCTGTCATTCTTTTCGTATTCATTTTGTCACTTATAGATTTTTGTTTGAAGAATCATTGGTATACTGTAATTTTGTTATATTTGGGAAAATTTCCTTCACAATTGGTATATATGGAATATTTTAGGACGGTGCATGATTTGTGCATGGGTTTCCTTGAAGATAGTAATCTGAAGTTGGTGGGTCTCTTATAGACTATGCTCATATTCCCCAACTTCTTTTACAGCTTTTAGCATCTGTTGTAACTGCATCACGATCAGGATTTGGCCTCGGTAACACTTTTACTAGAGGGTCTTGAACGTTTTGGGATTTGAAGAATGAAACGCTGACATTATGATATTTTTCTGACCATAGCAGTGGATATAATTATATCCTAGATGGTTTTATGAGAGATGGGCTTCGCTTTTGTTATTCTCTTTTGATGTTTCTGTGTTTTCAAATACTTTTATGGAGTTTGGTTCAATATTTTTGAGGTTCTGTATTCGTTGAGATGCATGAAAATAATTTTTGAAGGGATTCAGGGTTCTTTTAAGGTATCTTTAGATTGAAGGAATGGGGAAAGAAAAGATGGGGTACTACAACATAAAAGGAAATATTTTTGGTTTGCTAGATAGATTTGGGAAGAAACCGTGGAGGGTGAATAATTTGTTTCAGAATATGTTAATGGCAAGGAATTGTCTAATTTTTACCCCTTAATTAGTGTTACAGGAGCTGTGTAACATCCTTTCCTTCCTTTCTTACCCTTTTTTAGACTGATTAATTAGCTTTAAATGCTTGCGTTTATTGTTTAAAATCCTTCCCTTCCTTCCTGTGAGCTTGACTATTTTTGTAAGTTTTTATTGAATCATTAGGTGGAGCTGTAGAACAGTTATGCTGCCATCTTCGATTTGAATGCAGATTTTTTCCCCCATCATTACACTATTATTATAAGCAATCGTGTTGTGGGTTACTAGTGAAAGCGTGACGGAAGTGAAACTGCTTTAGAATTTGTATGATTGGAGAAAGAATAGGGGAATTTGTGGTGATTAAGCCAGCAGTAGCCGCAATCACGGGTAATTGATCCTTTTTCAGAGATAGGCAGGTGACTAGGCTCGTATATTCGCGATCGCGGGGTTACCAAAGTTACTAATTTAACAAGAAAGACCTGTGAATTCAGTTGGACCAATTGAAAATATATTGCAAAGTTAGTGCTGCATTTTGGAAATGTCATGAGAGACAATTTTTCCGATGTTTTTATTCTATGGAATGCTTTGTCAATGTTGGTAATTGGGCTATCTAGTAGGTGTATATAGCTAAGATTATGAAGTTGGTGTTTGTAATTTTTCTACTACACATCTGCTATGGTCGGTCAACATATATGATAACTGGGAACATCGTGCCGCGCTTTGGAAGATTTGGTGTAGTTGATGGTTTACCCTATTGGTTTCTAGTTCAAGAATGCAAGCTTAACCTCACCCACCTCAATTGTTGATTACCTCTTCATTTTTCCTTTTAGGAAAGATTCCATCTTATCTAGTTTCTTGTTGGACTGTGTCTAGAGACGTTACAAAGTCAATTTCACACACACGCATGCACGCACACACATAGATGCTTTGGAAGTTGCTTAAATTTGACACTGATTCGTATTGTGCTTGGCGATGGCTCCATTTGGGATTATTTAGTGAAGTGCCATGCTTTCCTATAATGCCTTTAGTTCTTCATGATTCACAGGCTCTTTCAAGTATTTAGTTGTAGCTTGGGCATTTCCCTTATCATCACTTCGTGCAATCAAAGTAAGAAGGTTCAAAGTTGTGGTGCTTTTACTTTTATGCCCCCAGCCTCAAAGAAGAAAAATAAAGAAAAAGAATTGCTCTTTTGGCAATCTAGAGAACATAACCCCCTGCTTTTTTCCTCTTTTTGGGATTGGGCGGTGGATTTTATACGTGGCACTTGCTTCGCAATTGTGAAGCGGTGAAGTTTAACTGAAACGGGTCGTCATCCACCTTCACTTGGGCTCACTTGTAGAGGGATGCATTTGACTGAACATCGATTCTATTGCTGGGCTACTCATCTGATTTCCAATTCTCATAGTTCAATGGGATATTATTCTTCAGAAGTTCTAGGGATTTTCATCACTGTACTCTGCCTCGAGTACTCTTATTAGACATTAATTTTTACAGAAGTTTCCCAAGTTAATGGTTATCCCGTGCGATCTTCTGGTCATTATCTTTGGCAAGAAATCTGATTTGCCTTGTATGAGTTGATGTGTTTGTTTTTATACTATGACAACCTCTACCTCTTCGATTCCACGGCAAGAAAGAATGTTAAATGCCGCTGAAGGATATATGCCTTTTTGATTTATTCCCCTGGTGTAGGGTTTTCTGTTTTTTATTGGTGGATTATGTACTTTTAGATGTGACGGGATGAGTAGGTTAGTTGCTCAGACGAAAGTACCGTTACCTTGCTTTAATTCATCTTCCTCTTCTCAAGAATTATCACTTTTGCTTTGTCAGGCGGCCATCACCATTAACTCCATACAAGCTGAAGTGTGATAAAGAGCCATTGAATTCCAGGTAGTTTAGCTTTTTTGATAACAAATCTAAGTTTTTGCTGGATTTTTTCTATTTGTTTCATTATTATCAATAATCGGTTCTATACCATTTCACACAGGCTTGGGCCACCTGACCTTCATCTCCAGACATCTTCTTGTCCCGAAGAGACACTTACCAGGGAATATGTGCAGTCTGGTTACAAGGAAACAGTTGAAGGCCTCGAGGTAATTTTTAGTTGCTAACCATTTTGGATCTTAATAATTGGACCATGTGTACCTATCAATTGGTGCCTCTTTCTTTTCTCATTTAGTAGATATAATAGCTATGATTTCTGGGCAATTTGCAGGAAGCTCGAGAGATTTCGCTGTCACAGATACAGTATTTCACAAAGCCTATTATTCTGAAGTGCAAGGAGGTAGTTCTTGTTTATGAGGTTCACTTTTTTCCCACTTATTTCTTGATTCCATTGGAAGACTTGGTTTACTGATTATGCCCCCCTTCTTCTCTCTGTCTGTTTGTGTATTCTTTTGCAGTCAATAAGAAAATGTCACCGGGCCATAAACGAGAGCCGTGCGCAAAAACGCAAGGTGACACTCATACTTCTTACTGTTGCTGATTACAATCCTATGCATCATTGCTAAGATTGCAATTCATCCTGTTTTAGATAAAGTTACTTGCTTGTACTTTGCTGACAGATCAGTACAAATTATGGACCTGTGGTTTTAGGCAATTATGAATCTGATGAGTTTCTATTTGGCAGGCGGGCCAAGTTTATGGAGTTCCTCTCTCAGGTCAGCTAGTGAACAAGCCTGGTATCTTCCCAGAGCAAAGACCTTGTGGTGAAGAGTTTCGGAAGAAGTGGATTGAGGTTTGCTCTCGTTTTTAATGCAAATTCTTCCTGTTTAATTATGTCGATGGCCTATGCTCTCGTTTCGCTTACAGTCTGAAGAAAGATTCACCTCTTAATGATTGTTGAAATGTCTCTGTTTATGAATTTCACTAAAATCATCATTACTCTGGCCTCCTTGAGTATAGCATTATCACTGGCTTTCCTCTCCCTAGTCTTTATAACCGCATGAGATAGAAGTTGATCTATTTAAGCCCGTCTGCAGATATTTTTTGGATATGTATTGCATTCATAACCTTACATCTTCTTATTGTGCTCAGTATTCGAGTCCTTGAGTGTATGAATGCATGGTGTATAATTCAGTTTAAGACAACATATTGGATATTTTCCTTGGGGAGAAAAAAATTTGACGTAGGAGGTCATGTAGACATTGGAAAAAAACTTTGGAAAAACAGAACTTCTCCAAAATTGGTTGCATTTCACAAGGTACCTGGAATAATAAATAGTTCTTTATTGCAGTTTTCTGTTATCCTTGGCTGGAATGTACAATTAGTGTCATTCATTATGAATTGCCATTGGGCAAACATTTAGCCTGAATGTGGAAGAAAACTGCTGTGTAATTTGGATGATGCAAAAACTTAGTGCTGAATACCTTTAGAAGAGGTCATGATTTCTGTCTGCATCATCCAAAAAAGCCTTTCTGCTTGTCTGTGCAGTCTTATTTTGATGTTAGTTAAAATTTGTAATACATCATTACCGAGCTATAGGCCAACTTTTTAAACTTCCAATTGATAAATTTTTTCTACTGCATACTGGGATTTCTCATTTAAAAGAATTTTTAGTCTTTGCAATGTGCAGTTGGTGATCTTATATGTTAAACATACTTACAGGGATTATCCCAACAGCATAAGAGATTGCGTTCTTTGGCTGATCACGTCCCTCATGGTTTTCGAAGAAAAGCTCTTATTGAGGTTCTTATTAGGAATGAGGTTCCGCTGCTTAGAGCTACGTGGTTTGTGAAAGTAACTTATCTTAATCAGGTATTTTCTTTTGTAGCCTACATGGTTTCCCTTGTCATTCTGTCTGGTGGTTTTGACCTTGTAAACAGATCTGACCATAATTTGACTTTGCAGGTTCGACCTGGGTCTTCTAATTTGTCTGCTGGTGTTCCTGACAAAAGTCAATTTTCTCGTTCAGAGCAGTGGACCAAAGATGTCCTTGATTACCTCCAGACTCTCTTGGAAGAGTTTGTTTCAAAAAATAATTTCCACTCCATTGCACATATTAGGGACCAATCACCACAAATGGTCTATGCTGGGTCTCAACACAGAAATGGTCCTGCTTCTACTTCTTTTGATGCAGATGAGCCTTCTTTGCATTTCAAATGGTGGTACGTTGTTAGGCTGTTACAGTGGCACCATGCAGAGGGTCTGATCATTCCTTCCCTTGTTATTGATTGGGTGTTTAATCAACTACAGGTACTCAAATTTTGATTACAACCATTTTAGTGTTTGAATTGAGTTGTCCTTGTATGTTGGTTCATTTGTTTTGATCAAGTTTATTTATTTATTTTTTTTCCAGGAAAAAGAATCACTTGGTGTTTTACAGTTGTTGTTACCTGTTATATATGGCGTTCTGGAAGCTGTTGTATTATGTCAGTCCTATGTGCGCACTTTAGTAGGAATAGCTATACGTTTCATCCAGGAACCTTCCCCTGGTGGCTCTGATCTTGTAGATAATTCGCGACGAGCTTATACTATTTCTGCTCTTGTTGAGATGCTTCGTTATCTGATACTTTCTGTCCCCGATACTTTTGTTGCTCTGGACTGCTTTCCTTTACCAGCATGTTTGATCACACACGTGGTCAATGATGGGAACTTTTTATTAAAAATTGCTGAAGATGCAAGCCAGACAAAAAGTGTTCCCCTTGAGGTTGCATGTTTGCAGAGAGAAAAGGGCACTGAGGTTCTACCCGAGTCCTTGTCCATTGCGCGAGTAGTTTCGTCCATTCAGAATTGTGCCGGAAACCTTGCAAGAGCTGCTAGACCTGGACATCCAGGTCAAAGTCTTGCAAAAGCTTTACAGGCCCTGGATAAATCTCTTAGTCACGGGGATGTCAGAGTGGCTTTCAAACTTCTTTTTGACAATCTTTGTGACAGAGCTGTTGATGAAAGTTGGTTTGCTGAAGTTAGTTCATATTTACGTTCTTCTCTGAAGTATATCGGATCAGTCAAATTGTCATTTATATCCTCTATCTTTTTCATATGTGAATGGGCAACGTGCGACTTCAGGGATTTTCGAACTGGCCCGTTGTCAGGCTTGAAGTTTACTGGCAGAAAGGACTTCTCCCAAGTTTACATTGCTATTCGTATTCTGAAGCTGAAAAGGTTGGAGATGAAAGGTGCATCCCGGTACAAGAATCAGAGCAACATTTCTTTTGATACTATAGCTAAAGATACTGAGTTGGTGAATAAGTTCCCTGGATTAGGCAGCAGTTTTGAACTTAAATACATTTCAAAAAGTGGAGGAAGTGCCAAAGTTTCCAGGATTTTTGAGAGCCCAAGCCCCTTACATGACATTCTTGTATGTTGGATGGATCAGCATGAAGTGGAGAGTCGAGAAGGTATTAAGAGGCTCCAGCTACTCTTAATGGAACTCATAAAGGCTGGCATCTTTTATCCCCAGGCATATGTGAGGCAGTTAATGGTTAGTGGAATTATGGAAAGAAATGGAGTTTCAGACCTGGAGAAACGGAAGAGACATCATAGAATCTTAAAGCAGCTTACTGGTTCCTTCACACGGTGTGCTCTGGAAGAAGCACGAATACTTGAAGAACCAGTGCTTTCAGAGATGATTAATATATATTCAAATGAGCGCCGGCTGGTGCTTCAGGGGCTGCTCGATCACCCCAAGATTTCCGATGGTTATGGCAATTCAAGGCCGAAACAAAAATATAACTACAACTTTGGAAGTAGCATGGCTTCTCCTTCATCCAGTGAATATTGGAAATCTTTTCAGGCTACATCCAGCTTGACATCTAACAGTGTTGTTCAAGCAGTCGAGCTTGATGATTTAAAGGCTTCAATAGCAATATTGCTGCATTTTCCTCCTTCGTCAATATCAGGTGACACGGGGATAGAAGAAGATTCTGTGAGCAGTCTTAAGAGAAGTTCTAGCTTGTCTGGTAACAAAATGGAGATCAGTGAAGCAACCCCTGGATGTGAAGAATGTAGAAGGGTTAAAAGACAAAGGCTCAGTGAAGATAGGAGCACATACATACAGGGATTTTCACCTAGTACATTGGACGATGAGGAAATTTGGTGGACAAAGAAGGGACCAAAGTCACTGGAGTCATACAAAGTTGATCCACCTCCAAAGCCTGCCAAGCAATCTGGAAGGGGGAGACAAAAGGTTGTGCGCAAGACTCAAAGCCTTGCACAGTTGGCTGCTGCTAGGATCGAAGGTAGTCAAGGAGCCTCCACTAGCCATGTTTGTGATAACAGGGTGAACTGCCCGCATCATAGGACGGGATCGGAAGGAGATGCAGTACCAAAATCAACCGATGGGATCAGATTGCCATCCAATGGAGACATTACCTCCATTAGTAGAATCCTTAAAAAGATGCGTCTTGTAGAGAAGAGATCTATCATGGTATGGTTGATAAATGTTGTAAAGCAGTATGTTGAAGAGGCTGAAAAAACTGCCACCAAGGTTGGGCAGTTTGGGAGGCCATATTCTGCGACTGATGATAGGAGCGCTGTTCGATGGAAACTTGGGGAAGATGAGTTATCTGTAATATTGTATTTGATGGATGTTTCTAATGAATTGGTATCTGCAGTCAGGTTTCTTCTTTTTCTGCTACCAAAGGTTCCTAGCAGCCCTGCTTCTTCCATCCATGGTGGACGGAATGTTTTAATGCTCTCAAGGAATACAGAGAACTTTGTGTGTGAAGTTGGGGAGGCATTTCTTGTGTCATCCATCCAGAGGTCTGGTTTTAGTGTTCTTTTGTATTATTTTTTTCCTTTTATGCTTTACGCCGTTCAGCTGCTTAAATCTTCTACTTGAATTTTCTTAGTTGCCTTTGCCTTTCAAATTTTAAACATGAATATTATGACTTTAAATCGTTAGCTTCCCTGTGGTTGATTGAATTTTGTCTAATCCACTTCTATTGCTTCAATTCAGGTATGAAAACATAATTGCTGCAGCTGATCTTATTCCTGAAATCTTGACAGCTGCAATGCGTCGTGTTGCAGCTACAATGGCGTCTACAGGAAGGGTTTCTGGATCATCAGCTTTGGCTTATGCACGGCACTTGTTGAAGAAGTATGGCAACACTGTTAGTGTTGTTGAATGTGTGAAGGACTTCAAATCTAATTACGACAAGAGATTGGTCGCTGAGCTCGAATCTGGAAGATTGTCTGATGGAGAATTTGGGTTCCCTCTTGGAGTCCCAGCGGGAGTTGAAGACCTTGATGATTACTTCCGTCAAAAGATAAGTGGTGTAAGAGTATCTCGAGTTGCTTTAGCCATGAGAGATATAGTACAGAGGAAATTTGAAGAAGTTTTAACCTCTTTCTATGGCAAAGAGAGAAAAAATTTTCCACCTGCTGCAGTGAAAAGCTCTGGCTTGGAAAAGTTGGATGACGGTTTTCAAACAGTGCAACAGATAGTTGGAGGACTAATGGAATGCATGAGGCAAACTGGTGGTGCTGCTCAGGAAGGTGATCCCACTTTGGTATCTTCAGCTATTTCAGCTATTGTCGGTAATGTTGGGCAGGTTATTGCTAAAATTCCTGATTTAACTGTTGGCAATAACCTGAATTCTCAGTCAACATCCAGCTCGATGTATTTTGCAAGGTCCATTCTACGCATGCATATCACTTGCTTATGCCTGCTGAAGGATGCGCTAGGCGAGCGTCAGAGCCGTGTATTTGAGGTTGTTCTTGCAGCAGAATCTTCATCTGCCCTTGCACAAGCTTCTGTACCAGGAAAAGGTTCTCGCACTCAATTTCAGCCATCTCCTGAATCTCATGATTCCTCTTCTAACTCCTACGAAGCTCTCAACAGTTCTGTCAAAACGGTAGTCTCAAGAAATGCTCGAATTTCTGGAGCTATATCTGCACTTCTTGTTGGGGCACTTCTACAGGGAGTTGCTAGCCTTGAGAGGATGGTTACACTCTTTAGATTAAGGGAGGGGCTTGATCCAATTCAGTTTGTGAGGAGTTTGAAGTCCAACTCAAATGGGAATGCTCGGTCTGTCGGGGTTGTGAAGGTGGAGAACTTGGTTGAAGTATCAACCCATTGGTTCCGTGTACTTGTAGGCAATTGTAGAACTGTTTCAGATGGATTCATTGTGGATTTATTGGGTGAAGCTTCAGTTGTAGCTTTATCAAGAATGCAAAGAACACTATCAGTGAACTTGGTCTTCCCACCTGCCTATTCCATATTTGCATTCTTAACCTGGAGAGGATTCATTATCAATTCTGGCTTTGGAATGCGGGATGATGTACAGCAATTATATCAATCCTTTGCTTTGGCCATAGGAGATGCACTAAAGCACCTGCCGTTCCGTGATGTGTGTCTGAGGGACACTCATTGCCTTTATGATCTGATTGCTGCGGATACTCTTGACTGTGAGTTTGCAGCCTTGTTAGAATCAAATGGTGCAGATATCCTTTTGAAAGCTGCTGTCTTTCTTCCTCTTCGAGCGCGACTTTTCTTAGATTCCCTTATTGACTGTAAAATGCCACAGCAGATGTTTAAATTGGAAGATGGTATTGCTGTTGATGAACAAAATGACCCAAAGAAATATAAGGAGAAGGAAGCAAAAGTTCGTGACCAGCTTGTACATGTTTTGGATACATTGCAACCTGCAAAATTTCATTGGCAGTGGGTTGAGCTCAGGCTTTTATTAGATGAACAAGCTGTCCTTGAGAAGCTCGAAGCTGATGCCTCATTAGTTGAGGCTATCAGGTCTGTTTCACCAAATGCTGACAAGGTTGCAGCATCTGAAAAAGGGAAAAGCTTTGTGCCACTCATCCTTGCTAGGTTACTTGCCAGACCAGATGCTGCTTCGCTCTTTTCTGAAGTTATACACCTTTTTGGGAGGTCACTTGATGACTCAATGCTGATGCAAGCTAAATGGTTTCTTGAAGGCGGTGATGTTCTCTATGGAAGAAAATCTGTACGGCAACGGCTTATTGCTTTTGCTGACAGTAAGCATCTGTCAACTGAACTGCAGTTCTCCAAACCATGGGGATGGTGCAATTCAAGCACTGGTCTGAAGAAAACTAAGGGAAACAAACGGAAACATGAAGTTACCTCTCTTGAAGAGGGGGAAGTGGTTGATGGAGGGGCAGAGAGTAGATGGACAGGGAGAGGATCTTCTCAAGTAGTGGATGTTGAGGGCTTTATAGTCACTCAGCAGCATGTTGCTGAGAGAGCGTTTGTAGAATTAATTCTTCCTTGTGTGGATCATGGTTCTGATGATGCAAGGAACGCCTTTGCCAGTGAGTTGATTAAGCAGATGAATAATCTTGAGCAGCAAATAAATGCCTTTTCTCGTGGAGCAAATAAATCTGCTGGTTCCTCTTTATCTGGAATTGAAAGCCCCTCTGGGAAGGGCAACAGCAGAAAAAGTGGTAGAGGTGGCAGTCCTGGATTAGCGAGACGGTCTACTATGCCAGCAGATAACGTGCCGCCATCTCCTGGGGCACTGAGAGCTTCCATTTCATTGCGCCTGCAGTTTCTTCTGAGATTACTACCTATAATGTGCACAGACGGGTAATTATGCATCCTGCTTTTAGTTTCTTTTCAGAAGTGTACAGATTATTCTAATTGAATGGTTATGATTTTCTGAAGCTTTTGTGGTGCCATTTTCTGTTCTAGTTCATGCAAGTAATATTTTAATCGAAGGTTAGACGAATTCTTTCAGCAGACCTTGCTGAATCGTGTTTTCGTTTTTTTTTTAAAAAAATAATTGATTGCTTTTTAATGAGGTGCATGGACTATAAATTTTCTAATGAGAGAATCTATCTCCATTGTACGTACAAATGTGTTTGAAACTCAGCTACTTTCAGCTGCATTTGTTGGCTGCCTATTGTTGCTTCTATCTTCATTGTGCTGACGGTGATTATCTGCTTTTAGTATTTTTATTTAACAATTTTGGATTTTTCAGGGAGCCATCAGGTAAGAGTATGAGACATACACTTGCCTCAGTTATATTGCGCCTCCTTGGAAGTAGAGTTGTCCATGATGATGCAGGCTACATGATCAGCTCCAGTTCATTGAAGAGAGATGTTGAGTCTCATGCAGAGACATCTTCTCCTTCTTCTGTAGTTTTATCTGGGGAAAGCCTCTTTGATCGATTATTATTACTGCTGCATGGGTTGCTGAGCAGTCATCGACCAAGCTGGCTAAAGTTGAAATCTAACTCCAAGTCCTCTGATTGTGGCAAGGACTTCAATGCCTTTGAGCGTGAGGTGGTGGAGAACCTTCAGGTTTGAATGCTGCTAACATAAAAGTTTATATTGCATGCATTTTCCTGGGCAGAATTATTCCACAGTACAACATTGTTGGAGAATGTTAATTATTACTTTGTGGATACACGTAATCACTGTTTGATGTACTCTAGCCCTACTGAGCATTTAGTTTTCAACTACTACAGTATTCTTGATGAGGAGTGAGTATAATATAAATCGCGAACTTTTTTTCGGTTCAGTTTAAATGTGAATGGAAGCCGTATGTTTAATGTTGAAGAAGATGAAACCAGACTTATTAACCTATAAGCATCTTATTGTGGTTGTAAGTTGTTTCTGTTGCTTGAGTGTTTCTTGTTATTGATATATAATTGATGCGATCATCACTCTAGACTTATCTGTTGAATTTAGTTATTTATTTTGTTGTTGACACAGAATGATCTTGATCGTATGCAATTGCCTGATGCAATACGTTGGCGAATTCAAACTGCAATGCCGGTCTTGCTTCCTTCTGTTAGATGCTCAATCTCGTGTCAGCCTCCTTCTGTTTCATCTGCATCCCTTGCCGTTCTTCAGTCCAGCAATACAATATCTGTTTTACATGCTAGGAACTCAACCCAGCAAAGAAATTCTGGGTCTTTGGCTAGAACTGCTACTAATGCGGCTGGAAAGGCTAAGCAGCAGCAAGTGCAAGAATCTGATGTGGAAATGGACCCATGGACATTATTGGAGGATGGTGCTGGAGGGCAGTCTTCAAGTAACTCTGCAGTAATTGGTGGCAGTGACCATGCTAATTTGAGAGCTTCAAACTGCCTTAAAGGTGCCGTTAGGGTACGGAGGACAGACCTCACTTACATTGGTTCAGTAGACGAGGACAGCTGATTTGACTAGGACCGTGGTTTTGGATTGATACATATAGATGTCACCCGGCATCTGTAAGTACGACGTTGCCCAAGTTGACTTGTGAAGTTGCCATTGGGGTCGGTGTATTGCTTCTAGCAGCAGAGCCACCTGCTATGAGGCACATTCTTTCTGGGGCATGGAGTTAGGACCTGATCATAAAGAGAAAGACTACTCACCACCTGTCCTATCTGCCGCTCCTCTTCGATTAACAACTAACCTTTTGATCTCTACCTCTCTGGACAGCACTATTCATGGCGCAATCCAGAACTTGTACATACTGGGGATAATTTTCCCTCTTTTTTCTTTTTGGGAGCCGAGTAGAGTTTGTCAGATATGATTTTCTGCCTCCTTGGTCAGCATATGTTGTTACATCTTAGCCAAATTTGGGTAAAAGTACCATAAGAATGTACTGTAGCTTACTGATTTCATTGTTATTTTTCCATCTCCATGTTTAGTTAGGGCCTTGGAAAGTTCTGCATTATTCTTGCAAAGGCCATTACATGTGGAAAGTTACTAGTATATTTTTGGTTTTACATTCTTAGCTACCAAATGATTTTGTTAGAGCAATGCTTCGTGGTGATCATTTTGTAGTTTTCACTTTGGACTAGCAGCACCGTGGGTTTGAGGCTATTAAGCTGGCTGAATGGCTTCTACGGCCTGGAACAGTGTTGAAATGGTCCGACATTTTCAACAGGTTTATAGTTTGAAACTTTTTTTTTTTTTTGTTAAAAAGTTTGAAACTTTTGAGTAAAACGGTTTTGTCATCATGTATGCGAAAATAATCAGAAATTCGAACGTTAAATTTCCCAAGATACATGGGACAGATATTGCAACTTTAGAATAATAGGGGACCATGTTCTCTTTTGGCATGTCCAAACATAACGATAGCTCTAATCTTACTACATGACCTGGTGTTGTATTCATCTTTTATTGTAACACATGGTGTCTTATATTTGTGAATCTGTTATCACCCAGCGCGAAACATATGATCAGATGATCATATGTTGTTCTCGTAACAGGTTTTATATTCCTTTTGTTCTAGAGAAATAGTGCAGATTGCGTTTTGTGGATTGCATTATTGTACAATTCACAAGTAGAATACAGCCTACTTTGGATTTATGATGCGAGTAACTGTATATATTGGTGATCCAAACCATATGACCTTTTTTTTTTTTTTTGGTTATTTTTTTTGGCTTTGTCGAAGAGTGCTGAATGCTATGGGCAGATAAAAGAGCTGCATAGATCATAAAATATTCTGGGATTGAGTATGAATTACAATTCAGGAAGATGCTAAACCAATGTAGCTAAATGCTTGTATTACACGAAAAGGTAAATCTTCTAAGTAAGGAAAAACCTCATCATACATAGAGCCTTCTTTGCAGGCGATTCTGTAACATGAATTGAATAAAACTCAGAAAAAAAACCTGATCCATCCTACTATTGGTTGCTTTGCATGGTTTTATCTACAAACATCACATCCTCTATCCAAGCAACAATGTTGAACGCCAAGCCTTCCAAAACTCGAGAATAGCTCTCGAGGATAGCTTTTCCCACGTCCTGCAACCACAATTTATAGCTATTTATAACGTTTTCTCCATCCCAAAGACATTCCTGTACAAAAGTACTTAATGCTACAGTTGCTTACTCTGTTGTGCTGAATCTTGCTGGTGTCCAGAGATGTTTGAGCAAGTTCAGGGTATCTTTGTTTCAAGCAGAAGAGCAGACTCTCGGCTCGTTCTGCTAAGACAATATTCTTATCGGTTCGATCAGTGTCAGACATGAAATCTTTCATTATGTCCCATGATGATTTTGAATGTGGAATGCTGCATGCTTTACGCCTCCAAGTGTACATAGATGCTTCAATCTTGTCTGCAAGCTCAAGTGCTTCATGTTCAGAGCTCAAGTTAAGGTGGTTCAGAAGCAAGTCTGGTATGAATTTGTCTGAAGTACACATATAACGGTAAACTGTGTCTCCAACAATTGTTTTTCCAGTCTGAAACACATCATATAATGTTTAGTAATGTAAAAGGATCCGAGAAAATGCAGAAAATCAACAAATCATGATTTCGTGGAGCTGAATGCGGAATGATACATCTAATGACAAATTCACAATGACACTTGCTATACCTTAGGGAGTGATGAAATGTATGAATCAGGAATTTCCATTTCGGAGAGGATGCTATTATTAAGGGCTTTTGCTGCTTTGTGAATCTGGTTGGCACAATCACGCTTGTTTCTCAAGTGCTTCCTAGACTCTTCAGATAGACCATTAGAAGGAACACATGGAACTGGCAGCCACCATTTTTCCTCCTTGCGCTGAGGAGCTGGAAGAATCCTCCTAAATGACCCCGAACGAGTCGATTTTTCAGACCTACTTCCTTGTTCTTCATACCAAAATTCAGTTTCCGCAAAACTGTCCAGTATGTCCTATCAAGGAAAAACATTGATTTGGGTTAGATTTCACACAAGACGAATAAAGAGTAATGATACATCCGTCATGTAACAAATTCACATCGAATTCTCGTAGTTAATGACTGACAGATAGACAGCCACTTCAGTCACAATCAGAAATCACTGTGATTTGGTGCGGATGAATCATTACTCTCAGAGAAAACTGTCCCATTAGCAGTAGAACAATTGTTTCCTTTACCAGCAGTAAAGCATCAAGCTTTTTCAGTGCAGGAAGGCTGATACAAATGTCTGATCTTGGTGAACTAGCCATCACCTAATTAAGAGATATATTTATCATCTTGTTAGGTCCTAAGCATGGGGAAAATAGACACCAAAAGGGAGTGAAAATTGAAAAAGGAAACAGATTAGATCAGTCACCTCAAGAGCAGTTCCATCTTGTAACTCCTGTATTGTGGGTACAAACTCCACTATGTAATCACAGATGGATAGAAAGCAACTCATTTCTCTCTTCCACATACTTTTCTTGTCAGTATGCAAAGGTTCTAATCTCAGGTGTGGACCGAAAATTGAAGCTGCATTGATACAACATTAGGAACCAAACAGAATTCTGTCAGAAAATTATGGCAGACTGAGACAATCAGATCAGAAAACTAAGAGCTTTGATGAAGAATACCATAGAGGTTTGTAATCGAATTCGATATGGCTACAGCAGTACTAACTCCTTTTCCACTTCCAGACATATCCTGGCCTAATAAAAGCTTTGAGAATCTCTCCTTCATCATTTCAAGCTCTTGGGGGGGAAAAAAAGCAGGTAACTTGTCAGCATATCCATATAAATTAACTACTCTCTCTATCTGAGCCCAGCAAAATTACAAGAAACTTACCAAAATCCTCTGTTTCTGTCTCATCATCAAGTACATCTTTATGCTGCTGCATCCCTAACCTTGAAAGCACATGGGATTTTGGAGATTTCATGGGCCAATACAAAGGGGAAGGAGTTTCTGAATAACTGCTGTTATCATCTGTAGGTTCCGAAAATGCTGAAACATCAGAACTTGTTCTGCAGAAAGAGTTCTCACTCTTCATAGACAACCTTGTAGCTGCTGCTTCTGTTACTGGTGATTGATCACTTTGATCAACAGAAGAAGAAGAAGAAGATTGTGAATTTCTATAGTAAGATCCCACATCATAACTTTCTTCAGAATTCGATATCCTGTCCATTTGAAACGAACCCTTCTTCTTTATCCCTCTGAAATGAACAAAAATTCAACAAAAGTCAGGATTCTGGGGGGGAAAAGATCAAAAGAATGCATTTTTATTAAAGAAGCTGGAGATTTTATATTTACCGGGAACCCATTTCAAATTCTAGTCTAAGAATCCAACTGGTCCATAAAACAAAAGCAATGAACGAATATGAATCTTCTATATAAATTGGTTTCAACTATAAGAAAAAAAAAAGGCTTCTTCTTGAAATAATTCACAGAATATGCAGCAGGCAAACTTTCTTGAAAATGTCAGTCATGCTAAGCAAAAGGCATGAAGAAAATGAGAAAAGATGGAAAAGTAATAAAGAAAAGCAACGGTAAAAAAATAAGAAATAAAAATCCAATCTTTATTATGATGCTGTTGTTGTTAACTGTAATGGGATGCTTTTGAGGATTTAAATTTAAACAGTTGTTGATGATAGCTACAGATTGCAAAAATTCTGCAGATTTTAATACTAAATACCGTTTTTTTTTTTGTTTGAAACAGTTCCCTCCCAAAATCCCAATCCCAATCCAATCCCAGAGTTACACAAACTCGTCTCTATCAATCTTTTCTTTCCAGTGAATAAGAATAAGAATCTGCTGGCACTATTTTTAATTTATTTGTTTTTGGAGGCATTGAATTTGACCTCCTAACAACTGATTAAACTATTGGGGTGGACTAATTTAAGATAGCTTTTTGGTTTTTTTTTTTTTTTTGGAACACACTAATAAGAATTATGGATCAGTTATTAACTTTATCATCGTCTATGTTGTTACTTTGTTCAAAAACGTTAATGTTTTCAAATTTGATAATAAGCAAAAGCTAACAAGAGTAACGTGTGAACTTTATAGGAAAATAACGTTAATGTTTTCAAATTTGATAAATGTATATATGCTGACTAAAAAATCTCATATAAAGTTTACGATTTTAATTGTCTACATTTCTGTGAAGATTTTAATAATTATTATGGACGGTTTGAGTGAACATTTTCCATACAAAATTTGGACTCTGGACTATGGAAGTCGAAAATTATTTGGTTAACTATTCCGTAGAGGTATACATGTTTGCATAAACGTTTCAGGGCAAGAGTCTTCCCACGTTCCAAAATTATTGTCCAATATAGATTTTTATTTTCGTTCAGATTGTATTAAAATTGAAATTTTACACCGGAAAAATAATTCTGGGACACAATGAGTAATTTAGTTTGGTTGAATTCAACACATTATCATACTTTGGTTGTTGAGTACCAAGATGATTTTTTTTTGTGAGATTTCCGTTCGTAGCTAATTCATCAAATTAGGTGGCCTTGCAGTTTACAATTTACATGATTCATAAGTTCATCAAAATATAAATTCACCCCAATTTTCTTAGAGAGATCAATAAAGCCATATTTTTTTCATCTCATTTCAATATTTTATTTGCTAATATGTATTCTTTCTATCTCATTTTATTTACTCATTCTGTGGAATTATCATGAGATGGGACATAGCGAGAATAATACTCCCTGCATGATTAAAGAAACAACAATAAATACACAATAATGAACCTCTGCTTCTTTCATTCGACGTGCGCAGCATAACCCAACCCATTGACATTAAAAATAAAAATGAACGTGTGAATTGTTTATGCAGAGTTTCTTTGTTGAAGAAGATGAAGTTATGGGGTAAACTTCAATCACCAAAATAATTAAGGTCAACTCAATAATGGATCTCCTGCATTAAACAAATTCAATTATGCAATGCATCCATATTCTGGGTTTGAATTTCTTTTGTATAAACAATTGTATCAAAGAAGAAAAATTTTTCTATTATACCATACAATAGTAAGTAATTAATCTCTCCGCTGAATTATATAGACTTGGCCAAAATTTATCAAGAAATTAGAAATTTTCTTACATTTTCTCAACATTTTAAGTAATTTTTAATCTAATTTTTTCCCAAAAAATTAATTATTTATCTTTGCAAGTGTTGGTTATTTGCTTCTTGATATTTTTGAAATAATAGAATTAAATGTATTTGTTAAAATTAATAAAATAACACATTTACGATTTTTTTTCTTTTTCTCCTTAGGTTAGACATAAAAGTAAATTTGATTTGAACTTCTCCAATGGAAAGTGGGCTCCGTTAATTGGGGCCGTCATCTTTGACTATTAGTTGGGCCGTCATCTTATATTGAATAGTGATTAAGGCCTGAACACTTTGGGAGTTCGATTAACAGTTTGAAGTACAAATCCTAAACAAATTCGGATTTGAAACGCTTTTTCGAAAAAACAAATTTTCACCGGCTGTAGGAATCGAACCTACGACCCCTGGGATTAATTGTAAGCGGTTTTAATTTGTAGAACCAAACTACAATCCCGAGCTCTGCCACCGAGCTAAGACCGGTTCGGTGTTATTCTTCCTACATATTAATAATAATATAATAAAGCTAATCCTACTTTGTAAGTGTTTTATTCAAATCAAGTTAAAGCCAAAAAAAAAAAAAAAAAGAAAGAAAACAAAAGTTACTTCGTGAATCATGTTAGTTCTGATATCAAATGTATAATCCTTAACTCTCGAACTAGAGATCTAGTACTAACCGTCAGACACTCGGGTTTCAGAAGCGTTTGTTGTTTCTTCAGTTCCACATCCTCTAAATGCAAGTGTTTGGCTCAAATATATTTATAGTCAAAAGGTAAATTAAAAACGCCAAAGAGATAGAGGTAACATTGTATGTTCTATAACTAAGTTGAGACTAAGTTGAAAATACAGGAATTTAAAAAAAAAAAAAAAAACTGAAATCGTCTAGTAAAAATAAACTTCAATGTATCTCCATCTCCAAATTAAGCTTCTGTCTTTTCACTGGATGTTGAACTATCTTTACTCTTACACCCAAACCACAACCTCAACCAAGTAGTTGTCTGCAAAAAGTTTACCATATTCCTGCACAATGAATGCCGAATGGGCTCCTTCTCCTCATCCTTTTCAGTGACAGGTTTCTTTGATCCCGTTTGTTTAGACTTCTGCAAGGAGGAGACAAAAAAGACAAACACACACAAAGAAATTAGTTTGACTCAGATAAATTTCGGTTAATCAGAAGCAAATTCTTAAGCAAGCGAGGATGGTAATTTGGGTGTTGAAGTTGGGTAGATGAGATGAGCTAAACATATTTTAATAGTAAGGTCTATCAGTCTGTATTATCCATGATGAATAGATCATCTTTGTACGGTATGTGTTACTATAAATGTATCTTTCAGCTAGTATTTTCAGTGTATATGTGCATGTATCATTCAGCTAGTTAAATTTGGAAAAAAAAAAATGGAGTTTTTGTTCCATACGATGAATGCCACAACTAAGAGGCGTGATGTTATAGGCTTACCGCATGAGTGTATTTCAGACCAATATGTATCTCCCCCTGGAATGTATCATCATCAAGAACTACACTATACGGAGATGGTTTGACTTCTATGAATCCTTCGTCTCTTCCCTCTATGAGTATCCCTTTCAGGTAAATCCTGAAAATAAGAGAAAACATAGAATGATCAAACTTTAAACCAACTGAGAGAACTTTTTCCAGGGATATTTTGTGTGTTTGTACGTCGTTTCACCAACTAATCCTCCAGGGCAGAAGATTTCCTCATCCATTATCTTCAGTTTGAGGTAAATTTCATTGTTAAATTCTGATCTTGGCAAATCAAACATGAATTTTTCATTCCAGAAAATTTCTTGATGCCCTGCAATACTGAACCATCATGTCAAGAGAATATTAAGAAACTGTTTAAGATAAGAAATTAAGATTCCCACAAACTTTACCGCATAGTGGACCTTTAGATGTCTTGCTCTTAAGAACTTGATTTCCAATTTCAAGGATAACATAGTAGTTTGGTTTTCCTACAAAGATCATAAATTGAATGAATCTGTTGAAAACTCCAAAAGAATCAACATTGTACACAAATGTTTTCACACATGATCTTACCAATTATGTTAGTGTGTCTAATGCCTTCAGCACTAACAAGAAGGACTTCAAGTGTTCCTCCCATTACTGAGAAGAAAAAGAGAGTGAGTTTGGTTTTTGTTCTTGACCTTCTAAAAAGAAATGATTCCACAGAGTTTATGAGGCACAAAAATCCAGCAATTTATGCTTGGGATTTACAACTTAAGGTTTTAAGGTCAGTAAATGTTTTCATATAAACATACCAGAGGTTAACTAATACTAGCTTATTAACTAAAGATACAGCATATTAATTGCAGCAGTTTAATTGCATCTTCAGTTTTAGATTTGCACAGAGAAATTTTTTTTCATAAGTCAGTTACTTCTCAGTAACCAAGTCCACTATCTAAACAGAAAATTTACTGCAACTTACTCAATTCATACATATCTAAGCATTAATGTGTGGAAGAATGTAGGTAGCGATTCACTTGGTTGAAAAGACAATGAGAAACACAAAATGCAATTTTATAGAATTTATAGGATATTCACGTGACTTTTAAAAAAAGTGAAATAATATATCATACCCATCCATGTAAAGTGAGCTGCATCAAAATCAGCTTCATTTGTATAAAGTTGTATCTATATCATGCTACAGCCTATCTCTTTCTTTGATCCACCGGTGTCCACCAGTTCTCTTAAATTTGCTACCTCTTTCCATTTACCTTGTTCTGCATATAAGTTTGATAATATTACATGATAACTTGCATTTTTGGGGTCCAAGCTGATAAGGCGCTTGGCAACGATCTCCGAGATGTCAGAGGATCCGTTAGTCTTCCGACAGCCAGCAAGAATCGCTCCCCATATCCGTTTATCTGGTTCGATCGGCATGTTGTTTGCGAATTCAAAAGCTCCTTCAACATTTCCTTGACGACTAAGCAAATCCACCATGCAGGCATAGTGTGCAAGTTTTGGAATTACTCCGTAGCTATCTTCCATTTTATGAAACCAACTCCAACCCTCATAATCGAGACCACAATGGCTGCAAGCAGCCAGAACAGATATGAAGACCACATCATTGGGTTTTATTCCACAATGCAACATGTTTGAAAAGCACTGAAGAGCCTCGTCTCCTAACCCGTTTATCCCATATCCATTGATCATTGAACTCCAACATATAAGATCCCTTGTAGGTCTTTCATAAAACAGAGTCTCTCCTTCTTTCGTTCTTCCAAACTTACAGTACATGTCAATCAGAGCAGACGTCAGAAAAGAATTGGACGTATATCCAACCTTAAATATATGGGCGTGTATACTCTCGCAAATTTCTTGCGCTCCCAATAAGGAACAAGATTGCAGTAAACTGACAAAAGTAACCTCATTCGGCTTCTTACCAGCTGATTGCATCTGTCTATGTAAATTGAAAGCATTGAAAGGTTGTCCATTTTGGATGTAAGCTGAGATCAACGCACTCCAGGCAATCAGATCTTTATCATTCAAGTGATCAAATAATATACTCGCTGACTCGATTTCACCAAATTTAGCATACATTTGAAGAAGCGCAGTCCCTACCGAAACAACTTCAAGATATCCTACCTTCAAAACAAGGACATGTAAACCACATCCTACCATGATATCCTCTAACTGTGAAGCAGCTACCATCAACTCATGGAGAATTGTGATATCGAATTCAACACCACAGAATCGCATTTCCGAGAAAAGAGTCAAAGCCTTTTCCGGTATCTCATTTATGATACAACCACATATCATACTCCTCCAAGAAACAATATCTTTTATTTGCATTCCTCTAAAAACATTGACTGAGTAATTCCAAGACCTGCACTTCGCGTACATATCAACAATTGAATTCATAACATCAGTATAAGAGTAGAAGACTCTTTTTATAGTGAATGCATGAATTTCTTTCCCGAACTGCAAAGCACCAAGATTAGCACAAGTGGGAAGTGCAGTCAGAACACTGGCCTCGTTTGGCTGCACGCCAGAAAGCTGCATTTTCCTAAAATATTCAAAGGCTTCTGCATACTCTTCATTTTTCAAACAAGCAGAAACCATAGCAGTCCACAAAACCACATCTTTATTTGGCATCTGATCAAAAAGTTTCCTAACAATGCTAACGTCCCAATCAGAGTAAAGGCCAAGAAGTGCAGTGACTATGGATACTTCTGAGTCAAACCCCGATTTCACGGCCAAACCATGAATAGCCCTAATCATACGATGCGAACCCAGTTGACCAATTGCCCGTATGACGGTCAAAATGGTAACATAATTAGGTTTTTGCGAGCGCATACACATTCTCTTGTACATGCCAATGGCCTCCTCAGGGAGGTTTTCCCTCACCAAATTGGACATCTTTGCAGTCCACAGCACTACATCTTCCTCTCTCGTAAAAACTCCATCTCTTTCGTGCCCGTAATATGAATTCTGCCATGATAAACTGTGGATTCCCAATATTCGAAACGAGATGATTCTCTTGGGAATTTTCACAAACAGTTTGTTTGCACTTTGAATAGGATACCACATACGATAATCAAAATTCCAATTGGAATGGAAAAACTGAATGATAATTTCCCCAACTTAAACTGTGGCAATATTGACGCGACCGAAATCAGGAACTCCAATCGTGACGGCAAATATGCAGATTCAGTTTGTACTTTTCGGAGCTACCTCTCCCGCCTCATTTCCAAAATTTCTTATATTTAAAACTTCCCCTTTAATTTCATTTTATTATTTATAGTTTATTTACTTGTTGCTCCCTGAAATACTTGCAAATTCCAAATTTCAATACATACTTTGGCTGAAAGCGGCCAAACCGAACTACATATTACCATTTGTCTATACGTTAGCAAAATCTTTCCGTTGTAAATTAAGAATCGTGCTAGTTATGTTAAATTAGTTGAATAAATGAATTTTTTTTTTTTGAGACAAAAAGAATATTTTGCAACGAAAATTTCTAAACGTAAGAATAATAATGTATATGCAGATTAATTTTTTTAATAAATAATTAAATATATTGCCACTCAGTTTAAAAAATTACATAAGACTTTGACACTATTTTTCACAGAGTCATAGAGTTGGCCCTTTGTTAGTGGTAATAGTTTCAATTGTCGGGTTGGTGGAATCCCTTTTTAGGTGAAAGATTAGTGGCATAGTTCAATCACTTTTTTTTTTTTCTTTTATTTTGTTTCATCCCCGGCACAAATATTAGTGGCATAGTTAAATCAAAAGCGTCTATGATTTTGTCCACCAATATCAAAGTTGATTTAGCAATGGAGGTGAATCAGTAAGTTAGTACTCCCTCTGTCTCATAATTATTGTCCAGTTTGAAATTTCACTTTTAATACAATTTGAACTAAAAATAAAAATTTAAACTAGACAATAATTATGAGACGGAGAGAGTATTTGATAAAAGGAAAATGTACATATACAGTACTCCCATTTTAAAGTTGTCTAGGAAGTTTATCAGTTTTATCTTCCAAATAAGAAACACGATCCAATTTATACCAGCATTTTTTCAAACTCGATTCAAAGTCCAATGACCTTAATATAAATTTACTAGCATATTCACATGCACATTTACAGATGCAAATATAAAATTTACTAGTTTGACATTTTTTTTGGCTACAGATGCTGCACCATGCACATCTAGTAGCATATTCACATGTAGTTGCCCAAAAAGGAAAAACATTTCTTGATGAGATAAAGACAAAATAACAAAATTTTGGGTGGAAAGATTGTTATTATGAAAAGGTTGTGGTTCAAATCTCGTTGCCAATTTATGTAAAAAATAAAAATAAAAATACAGTATGCAAAGTAACAAAAAAAAATTAGGATGGAAAGATTGTTATTTTCAGAAGATCGTTGTTCAAATCTTGTTGACAATCTATTAAAAAAAAACAAATGAAAATACAGAATTCCAACTTCCTGACATTCCTCATATTGATCATTTTTGTACAATAGGGTATAGGGTATGTAATTTATGTTTGTTTCGTTTTTTTAATACGTATTTTTAGGTGTTTTTTGTATTGAAAATGTAAAAAAATGTGTAAAAAATGTAAAAAGTTATAATGTGATGTGATAATTATTCTTTAAATATTTTAAAAATACCATAAAAACGAACCTAACAAACAAAGCCGTATTCATTACAAAAGCAAAACAATCATATGATCAACTGTTGATGAATACCCCTATATATATACACCTCTTTTTCATCTAAACTAGAACTAGTACCTAAGCAGACAAGATCATTCACCTACTCCATAGCTCCTAAGGAAAAAAAAAAAAAAAAAGAAATGGTTTCTGATCAGTCACAAACAACAACCATAAAGCTCCCAAGTTTAGACATCTCTCAGCCAATGTGTTCATGCTGTCTTTCCTCTTTGGCTGCAGCATGCAGAGAATGGGGTTTCTTCTTAATCAGCAATCATGGAATCTCCAAAGAACTTTACACCAAGATTCAGTCATTCTCCAGAGATTTCTTCAGTCTCCCTCCTGATGCAAAGCTTAAACTGAAAGCTTATACTCCTCATTTCATTGCATCTCCTTTCTTTGAGAGCCTCAGAGTTTCTGGACCAGAGTTTGCTGCATCTGCTCGGGGCTCTGCTGATGTGCTTTCTGATCAGCACAGAAAGGAGTTCAGGTAAAAAACTTTGTCGCCTTTTCGATGTTTGTAATGCTTTTAGGGTCATGGGGTGATCATATGTTGGTTAAATTTGGTTTTCATTTTCCAACTTCAGTGAGTTATTGCAGGAATATGGACTCAAAATGTCAGCAATATCTAAAGAAATCCTGAGACTAGTTTTGATGATCCTGGGAGATGAAGCTAATGAGTATTATGAATCTGAGTTTGGAAATTGCCAAGGTTATTTGAGGATAAACAATTATACACCTCCAGATGATTTAGAGGAAGAAGCTGAGGGACTCGGAATGCATACAGATATGAGCTGTATAACTATTGTGTATCAGGACGAAGTTGGAGGACTTCAGGTGAAATCAAGGGATGGGAAATGGATGGACATTCTTCCCTGTGAAGGGACTTTGGTGGTAAACATTGGTGATCTGTTGCAAGCTTGGAGCAATGATAAGTGTAGGTCATCTGAGCATCGCGTTGTATTGAGAAAAAAGCTCGTGAATCGATTTTCTTTAGGTTTCTTTTGGTGCTTTGAAAATGAGAAGGTAGTTCTGGCACCTGATGATGTTGTAGGCAAAGGGAATTCGCGGCGTTATAAGCCGTTTGTCTGCTCAGATTACTTGAAGTTCAGGGAGAACAATGAGAAAGGCAAGTTTGAAATAGTTGGATTCACTGTTAAAGGTTTTGCTGGTATTGAGTTGAAGCATGAGAAATAGTAACAAAAAAATCTTGGATTTAGGAGACAAATTCTTTGTTTAACACATGTTAGATGATGATACTGATGATGAAGTGATCATCAGTAAATTCTATCATTATGACAATCTAGTAAATGGATTCTTGAAGTTATATGTTTGTTTGTCCTGTAATTTGAGTGTTTATTTGTATACAACAACTAAACTTTTATCCCACCATGTGAGGTCGATTATGTATCATAATGTCGCGGTCAAATCATATTCTGTTACAAATGTTCATTTGTGTATAAAGCTTATAATTATTTGTGCAATTTGAGAAGAGGCAAAGACAACAGATGAATTTGGTGGATAGTTGAATTTGACCTGTTTGGTGGGAATAACAGAAGGCAAGTACAGTTGGAATCAAGAACTTCCAGGCTTCAACTTGTGCATAATGCAAAGTTTTAGGGTTATCTCCCATTTCTCAGATGCTTTTTTTGCCTAGCTGTGTATGTATGGAGAAGAGTTGATAATGTCTACAATCAAGTATTCTATTTAAATTCTGTAGGCTACCAAGGTTCTTTTTCTTCTTGTCACCATTCTTTTACTTGTAATCAATCAAGGTTTACAGCTCTACATGTGATTATGTGGTAGTTTGATTGACTTTCTTCTATCACAAAATATTCCTCTAGTTGGGAATCTTAGTTAGAAGTATTTTCTTAAACATATGTTAACTACAGAAAAGATGTTAATTGGGATATTTAACTATTTCGCTCGTGTTAAGTACTTCGAAAAAAGGGAAAAACTAAAATGATTTAACGAGAAGAGAATAAGACTAAATCAATGAGATGTCGAAAATAAGTTTCTTGTTTGATAAGCCGGTGTTTAAAAATCTACGGTATAGAAATATTTACACTTATTACAGGATAAAATAGTTCACGCAAGAAAAGAAAAGGGAAAAAAAATGATTAAAATGGAGTTCACTCATCCTTAGCTTGGCATCAAAGTTAGACACATGAATTACTGAACTAGGCCAAAAAAACATGGTTCAATGGACATAAATTGGCAAAATGTCCAGGCTTTGCTGAATTGCTAGTAATCATCAACTGGAGGGGTCTGGAAGATAAAAGTTGACGTTGCTTTTGAGGACAAAATTTATGCTGGAAGATTGCAATATTGCAAGTATGTTAGTGATGGGTCTATAAAGTTAACATCACTGTTTACCTTGAGGCGGGCTCAATTTATAAAACCATTAAACCGAAAAGGTACAAAAATTTCACTTATTTAATCACATACCAACATATATAAGTATTCAAAAAGTTTTACCGTGTAACAGATAGTTACAACGTCATTACAATTTCTAGTGTTTATCATTATTTACGGTTTTTGGGTTTTTTTTGATAATAGATGGAGTATCTAGATCTTTCCAATATTGAAAATTACCGGTGTAGATATTGATATTTATCTCTCCAAATTTCAAAATTGGTTTTCTTTTCAAATTGCAAAAACCAAATGTGATTCTATTACTCACGTGCATACATGCTTGAAATGGTTTAGCACTGAACGAGTGAACAAGGGAATACATACTTCTTCAATGAAATTGGAGATTAAAACACTAAAACAAAGAGGAGTTTAAATTAACTTAAAATGCTGTATAAAATAAGAGTAACAATAAACATAATATTATCTATTGTGATACTTAATAGCTCCTTCACAAATCATTGTGATACACAAATGAAATGTGTGACGGTAAAAATCCTTACTTAATAATTTATTTTTAACCGTTATATCGACTAAATTGATTAAACAAGTGAACATTCAGGACTAAATCGGCTAAATTCAAATGTTGGAACGAAATTGTTACGGAGTATAAACATTAGGACTAAAATGTCATTTTCTTCCCCTCCATTTGATGATTATGCAGATTTTTAGACTAATGAGTTCTTCCCTTGAGTTGAGAGACTTGGGAGTAGCATTGGATCCTGCACCACCGTCCATTTTTTCACGGATTTCTTGGTGCTTCACCCGCCATTTTCGCTTTCTGCAAAGTAGCATGTGTATATCCAATGTAAATATCATTACTATTGGCATCAAGATTGCTTGAAACTGCAGAACTTGGCCAAAACAATGGCACTTCTGCGGACCTTGAAGTTGAGCCCTGCTCCCAATTTCCCACTTCATTTGACTACCCTTTCAATAACACGGCCATCCCTTTTTCTGGGTTGGTCTTCCAAGTTCAAAGGGTTGAACAAATGCTACTCTGTTAGGGAATTCAGGGCTAGGAGGACTCGGGCTTTGGTCGATGATCATCAAGACTTGATCGGGAATGTTTCTCCCGATTCTGGCATTGACAGTCAGGTACTGAATAGTATAGCTCAAAAGACTCAAACTTTATGGGATTTATTGAAGAAATATCCCCAGTGGAAAACAGAATAAGTATGCATGCCATGTGTTTGAGTTATGAGTGATGAAGGTATAACTGTGTTTAAAATGGCCGCTTTATGGTGTATTTCTTGTTTGAGCGATTCCCATTTTGCAGTTTTTCTTTTAGATGAACTTTAGTATTCTTTGAGAAGTAATGATCACGTGCAAGCCCATTGGGGTTTATCTTGGCTAGTCTGCATTTCATTCCAGTTTCTTTCATGTAGGAAGTGGTTGTTGATAGTCATCCAAAGATGCCAGAGCGAGATTTTACTGGCACCGCTTATGTTCCCGTCTATGTGATGCTACCGGTGAGTCAATAAGCGTCCCTAGCGTCTCTTTATTGAACTCATTTATCTCATAAATGAGCGCACATTACATTCTTTAGAGTCGCTTTAGGTTTATCCGTGATTTCTGCTATCAGCATTGTAGTGTGGCAGCATGGAGGAAGATTTTAATATAATCCCCCTTCTTGTGGAAACAGTTAGGCACCATCAATATGAACTGTGAGTTGGTGGATCCTGATAGTCTGATAAACCAGTTAAGGGTCTTGAAGTCAATTAATGTTGATGGGGTCATGGTCGACTGCTGGTGGGGGATTGTGGAAGCACATGCCCCTCAGCAGTACAATTGGAGTGGTTACAAGAGGCTCTTTCAAATTGTGTGTGATCTTGGCCTAAAGTTACAGGTTAGTATCAGTGCTATATGTTATGTCAACGCTTTTTGATTGTGATCCTGATGGGGAATGTTGGATGCTTGAATGGCTGGGTATTCTTCAGATTGAAGATTTATTAAATGGGAAAAAGAACACTGCAGGTTGTTATGTCCTTCCATGAATGTGGCGGAAATGTTGGTGATGATGTTCATATTCCACTTCCTCAGTGGGTGATGGAAATTGGCCACAATAATCCTGACATATTTTTCACAGACAGAGAGGGAAGACGAAACAATGAATGCCTCACTTGGGGAATTGACAAGGAACGAGTTTTAAGAGGCCGAACAGCTCTTGAGGTAGGCTAAAATTTCACAGGTTCGTGCAGTGTGTATCTGTTCTTTTTAATTTCCTATGATTATCAAAATGTTTACTTATGTTATAACCTCTTTTAAATCTTAACGATATGTTTACTCTTTGACTCTATTGAAAGGGTTTTTTTTTTTCCCTCCCCCCCATGAGATAGGGACTCTATTGAAAGTTTCACAGTGATTCCATTTCATAATCTCATTCTAATTTGTTATCCAAAACATTTTAGGTTTACTTTGATTATATGAGAAGCTTCCGCGTCGAGTTTGATGAGTTCTTTGAGAATAGAGTTATTTCTGAAATTGAGATTGGACTAGGTCCATGCGGTGAGCTGCGGTATCCTTCTTATCCCGCAAAACATGGTTGGAAATATCCTGGTATCGGTGAATTTCAGGTACTTATCGGACTGCCTCTTTTTTCTTTAGACAGCTGTGTGCATCAGAATATTTAATTCTGTCTAATATCGCATTATTAAGCTACAATGTTCTACACTAGAGATTTTTGGGATATATTTTGACGTTTGAACTCCTTATTCCTATCAAGTGCTATGACAAATACCTGATGAAGAGTCTGGAAAAGGCAGCAGAAGTGAGAGGACATGCTTTTTGGGGCAAGGGACCTGATAATGCAGGTTCATACAATTCGAAGCCACATGACACCAGATTCTTTTGTGATGGGGGTGACTATGATGGATACTATGGCAGATTCTTCCTGAATTGGTACTCTCATATTCTGATTGATCATGGTGATCGTGTGCTTGCTCTTGCAAATTTGGCCTTCGAAGATACTCCAATTGCTGCAAAGGTGAATTCCTGTGATGAAGTTAATGATTCAAGAAGGATGAACTTTTCCCCTTCGGATCTTCTTCACTTCCAATACAAATTGTGATCAAATTGAACTGTTTCTGATATATTTTTGTTGATGCGTAGCTCTCAGGTATTCACTGGTGGTATAAAACAGCCAGCCATGCTGCTGAGTTGACTGCCGGATTTTACAATCCGTGCAATCGTGATGGCTATGCTCCAATTGCGTCAATGTTTAAGAAACATGATGCCACTCTTAATTTCACGTGTGTTGAGTTACGTACATTGGATCAGCATGAAGACTTTCCAGAGGCATTAGCAGATCCCGAGGGTTTAGTTTGGCAGGTACGCATTTATAAACAAAGAGTAATCTTTTTTCTTTCTCATTGAATGGAATGGCTGGTACACCCCAATGCAAGTCAAGGGCTTCCTGTTTCAGTTCTTTGCTTCAAGAGGATGACCCGATGTTGGTGTCTCACATCTTCTTCTTCTTCTTTTTTTTTTTCTTTTTTTTTTTTCTCCTTCTTTTGTTTTTCGTTTTTATTTTTTTATTTTTTGGATATATTTCAGTTTCATGGTAGTATATAAAATTTGAGTTTCGAGCAAAATCTCAGACCCAAGTGTATGGTTCAATCTGACATGATGTTTGATCGTGTGTTAGTGATCAGAGACTCAAAACTGGCTTGTTTAAATTCAACCGTGATTAGAATCTAAATGAAGAACTAACTCCTGAGATTTTATTGCACAATTGAAGGTACTAAATGCGGCTTGGGATGTTAGCATATCTGTTGCCAGTGAGAATGCTCTTCCATGCTACGATAGGGAAGGATACAACAAGATATTGGAAAATGCCAAGCCTCTTACTAATCCAGACGGGAGACATCTATCCGCTTTCACATACCTCAGACTCAACCAGAGTCTCATGGACCAACACAACTTCATCGAGTTTGAACGCTTTGTGAAGAAAATGCATGGTACATTGTTGTCTTAAAATATATGTGAAGTTAGGATAAGGTTAATTTAAGCTCACCTCCATATCAGATATGTGGTTAAGGATGTCTAAGGCCTTTGCTTATTTTCCTTGTGCAGGGGAACCTGTCCCTGATTTGGTAGTCGACACGAGTGAAGAAGCAGTTTCAGATGTCAAATAATCGACAAGACTTACAGTTTCAGAGAAGTTAGAAGCAGAATGTCTGACCGCCTTGTGAGTTGTGACAACATCATAAGATGCTGAATCGTGGTTATCCAAGCTAATATCTATTCTGCTCTATTTTGTAAAGTAGTTTATGCTGGAGGAACAGCCTCCATAGCTCCTCCAAGTGCAAGAAGGCTTGTAACTTTGTTGATAGATGTACATAATAGAGGAACAAACTTTTTCCACATTCGCTTTGTTTGGTTGGTTTCAAATTATCGCAACATTTTAGGGTTCATACTTCTAAACAATCTATCGAATCTTATCCTACAAAAAGTGAGGTCTAAATTGTGGCGGGAAGATAAATTCGAAACTCTACTCGATTGTGTGAAATATTTCTCGTAATGATATTACTTGTATTGACGATTTTATATTCTTGTGTAACATAGTACAATTTTCAGTAGAAATATGGGAAAAAGACATTGTTCATATGACTTCTAACATGATGATAATCAACACCAAAATACAAAAATACCAATCTTATTTGATGTGATTTTTCTTTCAGAAATTCATCAACCACATTATCATTCAACCATGTTTTGCTAAGACTTTATAAAAAAATCGGAGCGAAATCATTCGGTTCGATTTTTTAAATTAAAATGAACATGGAAAAAATCAAGAACACAAAAAAAAGTTGAAATAAGCGTTTGTAGAATGCTTTCAAGAATCCTTTTTCTTTCCTTCCAACTTGTTTATCAACCCAAAAAAAAAAAAAAAGAAAAAGAAATTTTTATGCACTAAATAAACCATCAGTTAGGTCACAACATCATCAAAATGTGTTGTGTTTGATAAAGAACATGTGCATTGCACGTGACTCACACGGCCGAGGATAAGGCTCGTCAAACGCGTAGACCGTGCCAATCCTTAATCTCCGGGCAGGCTTGCACGTGTGCCGATCCCCTATCGCATGCTCGCCACGCTGTCGCCGGAACTTCGCCGGAAAGTTGCCAAACTTTTTTGTATCTTCGATCGTCACTTTCGTTGCTTTGCAAAGCTGGAGAAGTCTTCCCTCTTCGATTACTCTGCAAGCCGGAATTTTCCTTGCTTTTCTTCTCTCCCTTTGGATCTGGACTGGAAGAGTTTGAGAATTGAGGGCATCAGTAAGTAATTTACTCCACTTAACTCAGGCTGCTCATTTCTTAAACTTAACCGTTACAGTTCATGTAAGGATTGGAACTCATAGTTAATAGTAGAATTAAGCTGAGGAATTTAGAATGTAAGAGACAAAGCAGGAAAATAGGAAGAATTTTTAGCTTTAATTAACTGCTTGATCTTCAATAATTGAGCTGTTTCTCAGTTTCTTGGAATTTTGTTCCTCGTGTCCTTTCTGCACAAATAGTAGATGGTAGTTGGGGAACTACTTATTAAGACATTAAAAGGTGGGAATGTACCTATAGTATAGGAGCTTAGCATTCTCTTCAAAGATGGAGAGATATAATTCCCTTGCAAAATGTTGATGAATTGATTCTGAAAAGTGAAAATCATAGAATATATCTCTTCTTTTTGTTAATCTTGAGTCCCTTTGTTTTGTGAGTATGTTTCTTTTTTCTTTCCTGACCTCATTGTGCCCTTTTGTGGTTTAAAATAGGCTCAGATTATCGGGCTTGGTGACTGGAGCTCCCAGATTGTTTGAGTAGTTCTGGTGCACCGCAGAGAATATTTACCGTTAGCACTTTGGAGTGATCTTCACTTTAGACATGTGAATGAGAAGCGTGATCTAGTTATCGTCTTGCGCTGTTAAAGGGAGGACTCTTAACGGTTGGGGACAGAGCAAGCTTTTATGGCGGCTGAGATCCCTAAGTTTATCACAAGTGAAGATGATGACGATGAAATGGGGATGGATGTAAAGGAGGAAGATGATGAAGACGATGATGATAGAGAGAAGAATATAGAAAATTCAGCAATGGAGGGTGTTGATGGAGGAACTGCATCAGCTAGTGGCAGCAACAGGTTTCATCATCAGCAGCAATATCAAGAGCAGCCAACTCCTCCGGGAGGGTCGAGGAGGTGTAGACCACAAGAAGAGAAGGAGAGAACAAAACTACGAGAGCGTCAAAGAAGGGCTATTACTGCAAAGATTTTAGCTGGACTTCGAAGGCATGGAAACTATAACCTTAGAGTCAGGGCCGATATAAATGATGTGATTGCTGCTTTGGCTAGGGAGGCAGGTTGGGTGGTTCTTCCTGATGGAACCACCTTTCCTTCCAGATCACAGGGTTCGAGGCCTGCAAGTGGCCCAACTACCCCTGCAGTGCAGTCAACACCTTCAGTAATACCAGCACAACAAACTCCCCCTGTTTCATTGAGGAGCATCTCTTCTCCAACTTTCCAAAGTACAATTGATTATAATGCATGTCAATTGAAAAGTGTTTTTGTTTCCAATTCATCTCCGTATGATGAATCCTCAAGCATCCGGACGCAGTCCTCGTCACTCGTGGGAGATGGAGGAGATATACACGATCCACTTTTAGGAGGCTCGATAGATTCTATTGACAAGCAGCAGATCGTTGAGATGCCAACAAAATTGCAGGAGCGTGATTTTGCTGGCACTCCATATGTTCCAGTTTATGTTTTGCTACCTTTGGGGATACTTAATTTGAATTGTGAGCTTGTTGATCCAGAGGGTCTTATAAAACAACTGAGAATCTTGAAATCTATTAATGTCGACGGTGTCGTGGTTGATTGCTGGTGGGGAATAGTGGAAGCACGCGCTCCGCAGGAGTATAATTGGAATGGTTACAAGCGGTTGTTTCAAATTGTCCGTGAACTTAAACTTAATTTGCAGGTAGACTTGCATAAAATCTGTCTGTTGCTGTAACTACGCCATCCTTCTTGTACTTTTAGCGTTATCTTACCTTTTCTATTACTTTATTAAGTTTTTTTGGGTATCTTTCTCCTATTGGTGTGTTGGAAATCTGTCTACGTATAGCAGCCAGTCCCAGTTTTAATCTGGGAATAAGATGAAAGGTTGTTGTTTTTGATAGAGCTGTATCACACTTCATGATATCTGTCATGCTGGGGGGTACTTGGTTGTTGAAGGGATGATTTTATTTAAAATTACTTAAATGAGTATTTCCTTGGGTTCCCTATATGCTTGACAGTTCATTATTGGGACTGTCTTAAATCTTATTTGTACCCCAGATGTTGACTATGTAGTCAGTATGATCCTTCAGTTCTGTACAGAAAGTTTAAATCTGACTTTGACCATTTAGCATTCTTTAGTTGAATGGTTTATATGCGGAAATATCAATAAATTTTCCTATCAAAGCATCTTTTGCTTTAATGCTTCATATCATCAGCACAAAGAAAAAACCTTCATACTTTATTTTCCAGTCACTTATGTTTGGTTCCCTTGAAGTCCTGCTAAAATGAATTCCGATTTGAATTAGGTTGTAATGTCTTTCCATGAATGTGGAAGTAATATTGGTGACGATGTCTGCATACCACTGCCTCAGTGGATAGTTGAAATCGGTGTAAGCAATCCTGATATATTCTTCACCGATAGGTCTGGTAGGCGGAATCCAGAATGTTTATCATGGGGGGTTGACAAGGAAAGAGTATTAAGAGGTCGCACTGCTGTTGAGGTATTGTGTTTATTCCTAGCTCACATATGCTTGTTCAATAGTATTTTTGTTATTTGTGCCAGTATTCATGCATTGTGTAACTATTACAAACTGAAGGTAAAATCTTATTCTTGATATGTAATTATGAACCCCGTTATTATCCCTCGGGGAAAACTCTTGTCATGTCATACACTAAACTGCATGTTTGCTGTTACTGAAGAGGTGGTGGCAATGACCAACTTATTTATGGTTTACTTGTTTTGGTTTTCCTTTCTTCTTCTTTTTTTTTTTTTTTCTGTTATTTAAGTGTCTAGTATTAAATAGATATTTTGTTGATTCTGTTGGCTGAATTCTGATGTAGGTCTACTTTGACTTCATGAGAAGCTTCCGTGTTGAATTCGGTGAGTTTTTTGAGGATGGTCTAATCTCCATGATTGCAGTTGGACTCGGCCCATGCGGGGAGCTAAGGTACCCATCACACCCTGTAAAGCATGGCTGGAGGTACCCAGGCATTGGTGAATTTCAGGTGATTTATCTACTCAGCTCTGTATGTTTAGTCTTATACACTGGAATAAACATCGAAATTTTGGGAGTGAACCGTTTTACGAGGTGGTCTTTCGGTTTGTCGAATGTAATCTTGCAAAGAGAATTAGCAGAATACCCACATTCTTTTTCAGTTTTCTCTTGATTTGAAGGATAGGAGGAGCTTCACTGACAGTGAAACTTGTGGTTACCCTTTTTTTGGTATTTCAAGTGTCGTTATGCTACTGCTTCCTTTCAAGCTTCCACTTATATATAATCTTTATTTCTCAAATGAAGTGATTCATTTATTTATCTTGAGAGAAAAAGAAAATAAATAAAAAAATTAACTGCCTACTGTTCCCTGTGGGAACTTCTAAACATTTTCAAATCCTTTTTGCCGATTTGCTTAACCTGAGCTTTAAGTTTTAGTCCCAAATTGATATTGGTAAACCTTCTCGTTGCTAACAATAGCAAGCCTGGTGTAGCTTGATCACATTATTCCTTTTAACTTCAAATTTTCTAAAAAGTTGATGTGGAGCTAATCCATTGTACTTTCCTGAATGGACTGTCCTTTTTGTCCATTTTCATCTTCAGTGTTATGATCAATACTTGTTGAAAAGCCTGAGAAAGGCTGCTGAAACCAGGGGACATGCATTTTGGGCTCGGGGGCCAGATAATGCTGGTTCTTACAATTCTCAGCCGCACGAAACAGGGTTTTTTTGTGATGGTGGAGATTATGATGGCTATTATGGGAGGTTCTTTCTCAATTGGTACTCTCAGGTTTTGGTTGACCACGGTGATCAAGTGCTTTCTCTAGCAAAACTAGCTTTTGATGGGACTTGCATTGCTGTTAAGGTTAGTTATCCTCCTGACTAAAGTGATTCTTTCGTAAATTGTGTCTGTTATAAAAAATTCTTCCTCCCATATCAAGTTGTGAGCAATTAACATCACATAGGTCTTATGGTTCCGTTGATGATGAGTTTTCCCTGAATCCCTTCCTTCAGTATTTGCAAAAGCAATCTTCTATATATTTCATCATTTTGAGGCCGAATAGATGTGAATAATTTGCTTGCCTTGCAGTTCAGTTTGTGAATGTGAACTTTTTTTTGTTTCAGTAGAGCTTGATCCATTTTCCCTTCCATATTTTTAATTTTGAGCAGCTATCAGGTCTTCCTTGGTGGTACAAGACTGCTAGCCATGCTCCGGAGCTAGCTGCTGGATTTTACAACCCAAGTAACCGCAATGGCTATGCTGCATTCATGACAATGTTGAAGAAGCACGGGGCCGTGTTGAGCTTCTCATGTAGTGGAATGAGCATGTTAAATCAGGCTGTTGACTTCTCAGAAGCTCTTGCCGATCCTGAGGGGTTAACCTGGCAAGTAAGTATCATAATGATAGCTCTTGTATCTAGTTTTCCTTTAAATTTCATAGTTCTCGGGGAGGATAAATTTCCAAACTAGTTCTCAAGTTTACAGGAAGTTTTGGAGGTCTCTTTTAAGATACTAGTTTCCTAGGGATCACAATTGTTCAAGCAGCTTTACATTCTCATTTTTTGTATTCTAGGTGTTGAATGCTGCTTGGGATGCCGCTGTTCCTTTTACTAATGAAAATGCACTTCCATGCCACGATAGAGAAGGCTACAACTACATACTAGAGAAAGCCAAGCCAATCAATGATCCTGATGGGAGGCATTTTTTCTCTTTTACGTATTTTAGACTAAGCCCCGTTTTAATGGACAGACCCAACTTCTTGGAGTTTGAACGGTTTCTCAAAAGAATGCATGGTAAGGGATTGAATGCCTTCATTTTACAGTTCCTATATGTTGATTCATATTTATTCGTCTATGTGGTCTAGTTTCTAGTATCCGAAGTAGTCTTCTGCTAAATAAACATCTTTAATATCCTCTGAAAGGTGGAATTCTATTCAAATAATTTCCTGTCATGTCTTTTCAAAGAAAAATGATATGTTAATATTGAGCCTTATCAAATTAATTCATCTTCTTCTTTCAATTATCCTGAGATCATTTTTTTCTTAGTTATGATTTCTTTTCCTGTGGAGTACATTTTTTTGCTCTCTTGACACGATGTCCTTGACTCCTCGCGGTACTTTGAGTTATTAAATTAGCAACCTGGAGATATTGACTGGATATGCAAGGTTTCCTATGTTGTCCTAATCTTACATGTATTGTAGGTGAAGCTGTTCTCGACTTACAGGGATAGTTTCAGCGGTATTTTGGTCTTCCCTGAAGAGAGCAGAGGAGAAGTTCGTCACTTTCATCTTTCGGTATATACTATCAGATGCAGTTTTGTACATGAAAAATGTATGATATGGTTAAAGCAATATGTATTGAGTGACTGCTCCATTGAGCTTCAACTAATTAATGCTAACACCTGCTATCTAGGCAAAATTATGGTGTACCTAATGCAGTCCGGTAGTTTTAACAGTAGGGAAAACCAAATTATTTATTGACCGAAATGGTAACACACTATTGTGATGGTGCCTAATGGATATGATCAAATATGTTGATGATCCATTTCCATGTGCTTTTCTATCATTCTGCTGCTTTAAGGCATGTTAGATTTTATAGCTCTTTTCTGTACGCTTGGAAAACACAGCAGAAGTTGTCTTGTGATCTTGGAAACTGTATCTTCTTTCTTTCTTTCTTTTTCTTTTCTTTTTTTTTTTTTTTGAGAAACGAAATTCATATACCACAATCTTGCTTTGAGGGTCATACGAAAGTTGAGAGCTTTCTTTAAATTACTTTTGATAAACTAGTAAATCTGTTAGCAATAAAAATCAAACCCTCAATAACTAAGATAAAAATTACCAAGTTCGAGCTGCTTGACTGAATGAACGTTCTTTCCTAATTATCTTTCGGCCATATTTACCTAATTCAACAGTCGTGGTATACAACTAAGTTCTAGTTTCAGTGCCATAGACGGATAATTGTCTTCTGTAATTACAAAAATTCTACCTATTGAAGAGAAGGGTCTACCTATGCTCTCTTAGCATCTAGAGCTTCCATTCCCTCAGGAACGGAATCGGTAAGAATGAAAGAATGAAGATTACTGCACCCATGTATCATCAAAATTCCTGCCTATACTATCTCATCGTAGACTCATCTGTGTCAAATAGACGCCCAGCTAGTTCGTCCCAGCTTCTTCTCCAGTCTGATGAATCAGACGGGATCTCAGTTCCGCTGGAATACTCGTGTTCCTCTGTCCCATGGAATGTTCCATAAAATGATGGTGAGTATGCCTGGGGAACATCTAAAGCAACCGCTCTCTGTAAAGCTGCTCTGTGTTCCTCCATGTGTTCCTTGGCTAGAGATGCCTTCCTTTCCATCCTCTGTTCTGGTGGAATATCCATGACATGCTCTTTCTCCACCAATGCCTGCACAGAGGACAAGCCTATGAAATGACAGTACAAAAAATTAGCTGTAAGTGTCAAATTCCTTGAATTCTAGTAGTATTTAATAAGCCATTTGTGAAAGTGAACATGCTCTCTCATCCTACTGCATTTTCAGTAAACCAGAACCATAATAAGGCTGCAGTCCTTTAAGTGAATTTAGATTGAAACCATGAATTTCAATTAACATCCATCAGCGTTACAGGATCTTGAGAACTTACATCAAGTGCCCTACTAGATTCTTGCAGTATCCAAATTATACCGTGATCTGATGTCATGTTGCAGGAAAGAACAATATGTTCAAAACGCCCATCAACAGGAACAGCTGTCCTCACAGTTGGTGATATTTTCCCTAAGCTGCAAGAAATAGCAAATATTGCAGTTAGTTTCTCACGATACAATCTGAGAAAGATTACAACTTAAGAAGTCCTTAAGGAGTTATATTCAAAACCAATCTCCTAGTTTCTTGTACAACAAAAGTTAACACTGTACAAAGAATGTAATAAGCCACATGTCTGACATGCAGCAGGCGTCATATTGTCTATAACCCATCTAACATGTAACAGCCTTCTCACTGTTTTTGCCTTTCCGCACATTAAGTAGTGAGAGGAACCAGACCACCCAAAACACCCCCAACCCCCAGGAACTCCAGAGTAACTCAAAGATGTAATTTAAAGTACATACTTAAGATCATACCTGAAGGGCTTCCTTACAATGATGTGATAGAGGCGACCGGGTGCATATAGTCGCCTGGGATCCTTCAGCATTTTCTCTTCCAGAGTGCATGTATCTTTCAGGCACATCATGCACAGCAAGCATGGGAAACTGTCAAAGAATATAAAATAGGATTGCAAGCCAATCATCAATAAACAAAAGAAAATGTCCACCAGGGGATGTTTAACTTGAAGGTAAAGCCATGAATCCAAATGCGAACATCAATATTTTTGCGATGGAATTAACACTCTAAGGTGAAAACAAGATTTGGTTATGCTTGCTTTTTGACATATCACCACATGATAAATAATGGAAACACAAAAATGAAATGAGTTAAGACCTGCATTCTTTTACCAGATAAGTGACTTGAATATGTCTTCAAGCGCTACAGTCGTCCGAGGTAAGAAATCATCCTGGTTTATTAGTGTAACAAACATTAAGATGTCAGCTAAAAATTATATCAATAAAATGAGAAAACAAAAAGGGTCCAATAAGGCTACTTGGGCGAACATAGTAAGGTAAAGAGCGAACTTTTAGCACATCAAGATTTTGTAGCACATATCAGAAGACAGAAGTTCAACAGAAGAATGGGCACATCATACAATTGGTCATTTCTGATAAGAATTCCTTGTTCAAGCACAGTGCTTTGTAACCAAATTATCACATACTGAGAAAATTTTGACAAATAAGCTATGGTGAATAATATAGTTGCAAAGCCAAGAATGCTTTACGGATATCAATAATCTATGATGAATAAGCTAAACTAACAAGGGTACACATACTGAGAAAATCTTTAACTAACATATAATAGACCCATCATTACCTGCAGAACAACTGAATTTATAACATCTGCATATCTGACAGCCAGATTCAATGATATGCACCGTGTCGGAGCAATTGCAAAACATCTAATCCTTCGTCTATCAACATTACCCAACCTCTCTCGATTCTTAATCGCCAATATGGTCAAAAGGGTCACTACACCTGCCCCTAAGGAATGCCCAACAAAGGTCAACTTGTAATCCTGATATTTCTCCAACAATTCTCTCAAAATTGCACAATCTCTTTCAAAAACCCATTGAGCAGCCTTCAATAGGCCATTGTGAACATAACCACCTTCAAATTGTGTTTGACCAAGCTTGTTGTCGAAGAGAACCAACAGATCACTTTCCTTAATCATAGTAAGACCCCTAATAGCCACCACTATATCTGAATTATCGTGGTCGAGGTAAATCATATAGGGAGTTACCCTTCCTTCAGTTTCTACATGAGTTTTCTTCAAAACAATCCACTCTGGATTAACACCATACCCTCCAGGGATATCCAAAATCGGGTTCCTAATATCTTCCTCGTATACAGATAAAATGTATCTACAGAGTCTAGGTACAGGCTCAAATTCTGTAGCAGTTGCAAGACCCCAGTTTTCACTTTCCCTTCCTGAAGTGTATAAGAATTTCTTCCATACCCAACGGGTACATGCTAAACAATATACACACTCAAGAACTGGAATGCAGCAAGATACCACAGACATTTGTTCTTTACCAATTCAATCATGTTAATGTATCTTCATGCATCACAGTAAACAAATATATTTCCCATGTTGAAGCCAGAGAAGCACCGGAAATCCCTATATGGCGAATTCAATTCAAACGAAGCTTCAATCACCAACCAGCCTAACTAAAGCAAAAAGTTGATGAGTAAAAAGATTACCTGAAACCAATAAAATCAACAGCAACAATAGCTAGAGGGTTCGGATGCTTTGTCAAGAAAATAGCAAAAATTCAAACTTTGTGGAGCAAACACTTGCAAACACCGGATTACCAGAACAATGAATGAAATTCTGGTATCAAGTTCCAAACTTTTTTATGAACTTATCAATCGCAGTGAAAACAAGGGGAAGAAGGACGATGATAAATGAGGGACAGTTGTAGCCTACAAATCAAAGACGAGAGAAAAACATGCCCCACAAAAGGAGAATTATAAGAACGAAAAGAACAAAGATATAGCAAAAAAGCCAGAACTTTGCAATTCTTTTATACTTTTCAAAGAAAGTAATGATCACATGAAAAAACAAAATCAGACCCAGAACCAAACCAAACCCAACTTGTAAAAGTGAGGAATTTCTATGATTCAACTAGTTCAGTAAAAATTGAAGTTCAGAAATCTGATCACACTCTTTTAAGGCTCTGGAGAGTTGGGGAATTTGGGACAACGGAAACCACGTGTTGGCAATAGTCAAATAACAAAACACATCATTGGAGCAAGTTTAAGGAGGACGACTAAAGGGACCCTCCTGAGGAGCGAATCTACCTGTTGTTATGCCTTAAGATTCCTCCAATTGTAATAAAATTTCTTGTAGCTTCTTGTTGGTTCTCCAAATGTTTGAAGGGGGTTTTTTTTAAGTTTTTGTAGTTTTGGATAGAGGGAATTTTATAACTCAATTTTTCATTATCATCTGTTGCACATTTCACATGCATTAAGGAGATGTTGTGTGATGATATAACTGCTAATCTAAACAGTATCTTGATAATTAAACTGGTTCATGATAACTCCTTCCCCTTTTTTTGGTTATAAATCGTGAATAAATAAAAAGCACTCTGTTTTTAGTCAACATAAACATCCATTACTTTATTTTATTTTTTTTTTGGTGGTTATTCATCATCTGTATTGTGCTAATGGTAGGTTATTCCAACCATCTTTTCCATGGAAATGAAATAAATAGACGAGTTCTTTAAAATTTTCACACTGAAGTGGACAACATTCCTCAAAATATAAATATAGTTTCTTATAATCCTCAATATTAAGGACGTATATGGACAACATTTTCTTTTCTTTTTTTTTTTGGTTTTTAATTTTAGGTTTGAAATAATATAGAAATTATATTTGAAAAAGGTAATGAAAAATGGGTGTTGAGACCTTTGATAAGGTTTTTTTTTTTTTTTCTTTTTCTCCTTATCACTCCCCGGCAATAAAAAAGCCTCATCAATGCTAAGGTATTAATAATGTTCAATGATGATTTGACTGATTAAGAAGTTCATATGAGAATATATGAGAAATTAATTTTTTATAGGCATTTTAAACTTCAAGTGGTTGTATACAAAACAAACCCATTGTCAAAGAATATTTTGTCCCTTTTTTGTTATTGTCAATTCTTGTCTTACCACTTTAAGTTTGGCATTTAATGAATTTTGTTGTTTAACATCTGTCATTTTTCCCCCCCTCTAATCCATTATCCATCTGATTTTGAAAGCAAGTTTGTGTTAACTAATTTTTTTAATACATAATACACTTACTCCCTCATGTTCTTATTATAAGGTATTTTGATTATCTTAAGTTTCATTTATTTTATTTTTTCAATTGAAAATAAAATCTTAAAAATATTTTATAATATAATTAAGAGAACACAATAAATGTATTTAATTAAAAAATACAATAAATAAAACTTATAAAAAATTAAAATACTTTATAATTAAGACCGGAGGAATACATGTTTATTTTGACAATAGATAATAAATACTATAATGTTTATCATTTCAAAAAGAAAAAGTTAAACTTTTTCTCTAATCACGATTTTAGGCTTTTTAGCCGACCCAACTCCCATATAGTCAACTAGATGTTTGGCCCAGGCAGATGTCCGGGCGCCCCTTCTAAATTACTATTTTATTAAAATCTAATTGAATTACTATTTTTTGAGGAATCAATTTGGCGTATATATCATTTATGCTATGGTTTGGGGCTCAAAAAAATATACCTATAAATCTGAGGTTATAAGGGAATAATAAATAATTAGTTTATAAGGCATTATTCTTGAATTACTGGATTTAAGTTTTTTTATTTTTTGTTTATACTAAGCCTGCAAAACTGTACGATTGGACATTTGAATTTGAATTAATATATCCATTCGTTTGAAATGTAACTGATTCTTATTTGTAGAATTTTTTCATTGGATAAGTGTCACATCTAAAACATGTGTTTTTTTAAAAAAAGAATTATATAGTTTCTAATTAAAAGAGACTTACATGTGGCAAAAAGACTCCTGAAATCTGAAATATGGTACATTGGAGCTAAAACAGATGCATACGTAGTTGCCACATAAGCTTCATGTCTTCTGCTTTAATAGGGTAAAAGAGATGAGGGTTTGCCGCAGTGGGGCGGCCTTACACCCCTCACGCGGCCTTACACCCCTCACCTGCATGACACGGGTTCGACACCGAGGGAAGGGAAATGGGGGCTCATTTGAGCCATGTATCATAGAAAAAAACTCCTATATAAAAATGCAATCGCGATTAGAGAAGAAATTTATGTGAACGCTACAAAGTTGCAACACCTGCAGTTCGGCTCATATTTATCTGGCCCAATTTGAATTCAGTATTCATATTTCACTTAGTGTGGCCTAATCCAAATTGTCATTTGTAGGTCCAATAGAAATGGAAAGAATAACAAGATGTTTATTCCAAACAACTGTTCGATAATATGCCTCTGTTGTGTCTTGTCACACTTGTGTATTTCTGCCTTACAATCCTTGGGTTTATCCTTTCCCCCAACAAAAATGGGATGAGATTTTCAGTTACACTTTGTGTTACATTTTTTGGAACATTCATCAGATGTGATACTTGAATATATCATAACAGGTATACCTTTCAAGATTTATCTGGTTATTCGTTAATTTATAATCTGAAAAGTTATACTCCTTCCGTTCTAAAACAATAGTCCACATTGAATTTTTAACAAAACTCAACATGGATTATTTTTGTGGTATGAAGGGAGTAGTACATTAATTAAAAGATGTGCCTTATTTACTCCGTCGATGTGAATGTATAACGAGTTCGTTTTACCCCCAACACCCCACACACGCACAAAAAAAATGATTGATGGTTTTGAAGTCTGCTTCAAAATTACAGTGCTGTTGAAGTCACAATAACTCGAGAGTTGAGGGCAAATATAATCAACGCTGGTTGGCTGGGAAAAAATATTTTTTGAAATTGTCAAAGTCAACAAAATATGAAGAAGTCATAACTTGGGTATGTTATAATTGACCGTCCAACGAACAGGGGAACTATTCGCAGATAGCCTTAATTTTTGAATTAATAATCATCATGAGTAAACCTTAATTTCAACTCTCTTTGAATTAATAATCACGAGTAAACCTTAAATTCAAACTTAGTCGAATTGTCTTCAATATTTCTAGGAACTTTGGCGACCGAAAACTACTTATTCTAATCACATAGTCAACAAGTGAGGAGGAGACTAACATAATTTCATCACCTCAAAAAAACTCATAATCGAACAATCGTGTTTCTGTGTTCTCAAATAAAAAAGTTTTAATTATTTTATAGTCAGAATCTCAGACTCTCAAAATCATTTTAACAAAACAATCAAACACATGTTACACTAATTATAAATCTCATTTCTTTTTCAAATCAAATTAGTATTACACAAGTGAAATAAATCGATCAATCACTCTAAAATGATCATTTTTGCATATTTTACGTCGTGTCATAAAGACAGAGAAAACTATTCTTTCCTTCAAAGTTTGAATCACATATGCCATCTATAAATACAAGGTAGAAGCAAGTAGGAAACACACAAACGAGCTAGAGAGCTTTAGCAAAAACAGTGATAATTTAGTTTGATTTATAGAGAGAGAGAGAGAGAGAAAGATCAATTAAGAGCATAAAAATCATGGCCGGCATTCCAGTGAGTAGCGGAATCACAGAACCAAAGGTAACAAAGCTTCATTTCTACATGCACGACATTGTCATTTCCAAGGAACCAACCGCCGTCGAAGTCGTCCCGCAAGTACGAATCAACGGCGGCGACGCGCCGTTCATGTTCGGGCGGACCGTGGCGATGGACAACCCCTTGACGCTGGACCCGGACCTCGGAAAAACCGAGGTATTCGGCCGAGCCCAGGGGGTTTACGTTTCGGTCAGCCAGGCCAAGCTCCACTACATGTTGGTCATGAATTTGGTGTTCACGGAGGGAGAATACAAAGGCAGTTCCCTGACCCTCCTCGGCGACGATCCGGTGTTCGACGCCTCCCGGGAGATGCCGATCATCGGAGGCACCGGTGCGTTTCGGATGGCGCGTGGAGTTGCGAAGACGAGAACTTATCACCTGGATGAAACCAACTTCAATGCAATTGAGGAATACAAGGTTGTCATCATCCAAGACCAGGGTGTTTCTGATGAACTTTTCAATGACTGGTAATAATTGACGGAAGCAAATTTGCAATACCATACGATCAGTGTTATCAGTTTTGGATATGGAGATCAAAAGCTCTCATTGTTGTTGAATTGTTAATGTTGTTATTTGACCCTGTTTTTTTTTTTTTTTGTTTCTGTACTCTGTTCAATGTAAAACAGGATTTCTTTTTGAATTATAATATACTGAATGCATTTGGATACTAAATTTAATTTGGATTTTGACCAACTTTTGCTTCTTACTACGTTATAAACCCCAGGGGATATATGGAATCAAAAAAAAGCTCTCATTGTGGTTGAATTGTTAATGTTATCTTTCTTCTTCTTTTTGAACTTTTTTTCCGTACTCTGTTCAATGTAAATCAAGATTTCATTATATGTTTTAATTGGTGTCTTCATCAAATGTTTGATTAGATGTCACGCTCATTTGATCGGAACTCAATGTTTTCCGGGGAGCAAAATATACTTCTTATCATCATATAAACAGCCCAATTGCTTTTGTTGACAGAAAGAGTGACAAGTTTAATTTTTTTTTTTTTCTTTTTTATAAGACATGTATAAGTTTAGTGGATCACGATGAAACAACTAACATGTGTATAGAGAATTTGATTACTTTGAAATTGTCATCACAAAACATAAGGTATAAATTCGGGTCACGATATAATAATTTGACTAACACATGTTAGTGTTGTGATATGAATTTAACCATTACGAGTTTAACAATTTTGTAGATTATGTATTCTTCAATCGACTATACTTTGATATTAAAAAAAACAAACAATTTGATTAGGGGGTGATTGTCAATTTTGACGTCTCAAAGGACATGACTAATTTTCAATTTTCATGATTTCTTTTCTGTGGAACAAAAAGTGTACCTTACAACGTGAGGTTGATAAATAAATATAAAAAAAAAAAAACTCAATAATGAAGGCCAAAAGAAAATGTGGGTGCTATTTTAATTTCAGAGTATCTGGGGATTTCAATATAATTACCGTAAAAGAACAAGGGCAAATTGGCCAAAGGATACGTTATTGTGGTTCCTTTGATACTGCATCCGGTAGCCCACTCAGCCGCTTCCTTTTAAACCCTAAACTCCAGTCCGTTCTCCCAGTAGAGCCGCATCGGGTAGAGCTTCCGCCAGTTTTTTCGCCGCCGTCAACCTCCTTGTTTCTGTCTCCTCCGCCATTGCGTAAGTTCCACCATTCCGGTTACTTTTTATTCTTTCTGGCTAATTGATTTGTGGTTATCTCGTCTGAGAAATTAGATTTGGTACGTAAGGTTCAAGTTCTGCGCCTTCATTTCTGCACTGAAAATCCTAAAACCCGCTGTTTTGTTTTTCGTCTTCGTTGTGTGTTTGGAGATTCTATTTTGTGGTCATCTTCGGTAACCGAAAAGTAGTGATATGTTTAATCGGATTTGAGCTGTGCTACACTTTTTTGTTTTTTTTTTGGATGGATTCCTTTGACGTTATAATTCTTGCTGAAAACTCTTGTTAGTGTGGTCGTTTTGTTGATTAATGTGGAAAAGTCTGTTTTTGTACGATTTCATTGTTGAGTTAAGATGTTGATTATTGGGAGCTTGCTGTAAACTAAATCAGTTGTGAATATGGTCCGTCTTTTTAGCTTGGGATTGTGGAATTAGTGACTTTATTATCATGGTTTTTATTATCCAACTGCAATCATGGTGATATGGAAAAAGTTGCTAAGACAAGGATTTGTGTTTTTCCCAGGAGATGGCTCCAAAGCAACCCAACACTGGCTTGTTTGTGGGGCTCAATAAAGGCCATGTTGTGACCAAGAAGGAATTGGCACCTCGTCCTTCTGATAGGAAAGGGGTAATACTTTAGTTGTCTCTTCTTTACTCTGGATTTGGCTTATCCATCTGGAATGGTTGTCTTAGATTTTGTTATAATTATCTTGTTTTCTTCAGAAAACAAGCAAGAGGGTGCACTTCGTGAGAAGCCTCATCAGGGAAGTTGCTGGCTTCGCGCCTTATGAGAAGCGAATCACTGAACTTCTTAAGGTTGGAAAAGACAAACGTGCACTAAAGGTTGCTAAGAGGAAGTTGGGAACTCACAAGAGGGCAAAGAAGAAGCGTGAAGAGATGTCCAATGTTCTTCGCAAGATGAGGCAAGATAAGCTTTGCATCACCAATCTACTTTTAATTTTGAAAATGAATTTGAGTTAGGGAGAATGGGAGATCTTGTACTCCCATTAGGTTCCGGTTCATTTTGAAGCATTCTGCTAAAGACTGGTTTGCTAACATGCTAGCCATAACTAGTTATGATCCTTATTAGAGATTAGCTGTAGCTTGTGTTAGCTTTGCCATGAGTCAGTTGATTTCTTCATGATTCTTTCAATTTATCATGGGCATTGTTAGTTATTTTACTTCTTTTTTGCTATGCCATTCATTTACATGTGTTTCTGGGCATTAACACATGTATACTTGAATTGTAGGGCTGCTGGTGGTGGTGACAAGAAGAAGTAAGCTGCCAAAAGCTGGAATTTTGCGTAGTTTTACCTGCTTTGTAATAGAAGAGTAGCAGCATATGGAACTTAAGAGTTAAGAATTGCATTGTCTTCTTATGGGAGCGTTGCTTTTGTTATGTTTTGAGAATTCACATTGCAGTCAAGAACTTGGCTTTTTGAATGTTGGAAATTTTAGAGTTCGCTATATAAACTAATTATCTTATCTTGGTGTGCTTGTTACCATGATGTGATCTTCAACTATATGCATGTATTATGTTGAAGAATCAATCAGAAATATCACTTGCGTTTCAGCTCACTGTTGTTTCCTTCAACCCGTTCAGTTTCAGAATATTGTTATCTTTGTGTGCTTGTCACGATGATGTGATCTTCACTGTTGTTTCCTTCAATATCACTCAACTGTTCAGCTTCAGAATTTCTACTCAAGATGCACCATTGTGATGAATTGGAGAGTTCAAATGGTTCTATTAGTTATCTGAACAAAATTCAGTTGAAATGCAATGGACTTTGTACCATTCTCCAAGGCTAATACGAGGAGCAAAGAGATGCACTTTCTTCCCCCTTGTAGTGTCTATACACTCTCTCCCCCCTTCTAGTTTGTAACACGATGTTGTCATATGGCATTTGGCAACTGGAGAAGACAAAAAACGTATGTATGATTTTGGACAGGCTTTCTAGCATGTTTAGACAAACTAGGGTACAATGTAACATGTTTTGGCCAGCTCCAGAGCTACTAGAGAATTATCAGTTTAACATGTTTTGGCACCAGCTTTGGTAGCTGCTGCTTGTCACAAAGCCTTGCTGTTTCGCTCCTTTCAATATCATCAAACATAGGAACGCAAGGAATAGAAGTATTATTCCGTGGATCAATGATAAGCTGCTCAAGTCCAACAGCATAATGTGACAAGTATGCGACAAGTTCATCTTCACATCTACGACCATAGTAACCTGATAATTCAACCACCTTAAGATGTTTATGTTTCAGGTCCAGGGGATGTTTGATTATCTGGATCGGTCCTTCCTTTCTCGATGGTTGCACCCAAAATAACTGTACAATGCACAAGAAAGGGTCAAACATGTCAGCTTTTGGAGGTATATAAATTTTTTGGGGGAACTTTCATTTACCTGCAGGATAAACTTCTGGAAATTGGGACTACTGTCATGAAGGAAGTCGTTCCATAGAGGCTTTCATCATCCCATGATCCAACATTTATGATCAATACCTTGAGTTTGCTTAATATAGGAAATCCACTAGCACAGGGAATGCGCTGGTAACAAGAAAGGGAAAAAGAAAAAGAAATAAAAACCTGAACTTTCAAGACTATATAAAAACAAATCACTCTCAGAAAATAATGTCCAAGACCTTTACCTCTAGGTGCTTGGAGCGTAATGAATGTAACGTAAGAACCTCAAGCTGATGGAAATGGCTTGAGAAGTCGTTACTCAAGGGGCAATAGGGCCTGTAAACATGAAACTCAACAAGCATAAGAGTGTTTTTGAGCATGACCTTACCTGCATCATCTAATTTTAATGTCCTGAGGTTTGGACAGCAAATATCGAGTGACTTAACAGACTCAGCGTATGTTATATTCAGGTATTCAAGAGATGTACTTGAAACAACAACTTTATCCAAGGGTCCAGTGCCTATAACAGTGAGTTGTTCAAGGTGATGACATTTGAGTATCAAGTAATTGAGAAATTGGTCCGTCACTGTGACTCCTGTCAAACTCAATTCTCTCAAGGAGCTGAAGTCAACCCACAAATCAAGATGGTTTTGAGCAATTCTACAGATCCTTTACTCATGGCTGAGAACCAATCTTCACAGGCAGAGGAGCGCAAAGGTAGTCCCTGCTTATACTCAAGAAACTTAGCAAAGTTCAGTTCAAGTCTCTGAACCCTCTTGGCAAAAGCATAATAGATCCAAGCATTAACCATCATGGGACTTATATTAAAGTCCAGACGAACTCTAAATTCATCTAACGCAGTAGCTTCATGCAACTGCAACACACGGTGAATCTGGGATAAAAACTTAGAGGCCTTTTCCATAACAACTTCTTCCTTCAAATATCTTGAAGTATGGTGAAAGTTAAGCTTGGAAATATGTAACCACAATGTCGCTCACCGGGTGGATAGGATACTGGTTTTTGCAGCTTCCGAGGTTGTCAAAAAGGATAAAATATGAAGAAGAACATCATGGGGCAATCTGACTGATAACATCCTTTGTAGAAAGCTCCCTGTAAGTAGATTGACAATAATACACAATGCAATAGGCAATCAAATTCACCGAGGGAGTAAAATCTACACGAATATTTACAATGCAACAACAACTAATCAAACTTCATAACATAAACCCCATGCCAAAAACTGGGAAGGTAGGCATGAGGGAGCGAAATCCACACAAGAAAAGTTCAGTATGATAGACAAAATGCAACAGGTAAAACCACCTTCAAAAGCACAAACATCATACCAAGAAGTACAAACCTAGGCCAGAGGGGAGTAGAATATACACAACAAATTATTCCAGAATGATACACTAAATGTAGCAACAAATCAACCTGATAAACAAAATCATAAACTTAAAACTACCAAGATAGGCCTGAGAGAGCAGAACACACACACAAATTTGAGCATAATAGATGCAATGAAACAACACAAGCAACTCCATGAAGGCATAAACCCAAGAAAAAGATTCACCAAGATACGAGCACAAATACAACAAATTAATTATAGAATATGGTCTAATTGACAGAATTAACAAACGGAAAGGGGCTCATCAGCTCTCACATTCAGGCTGGAACTTAATCCACTCGGAATCTTAAACAATTGACCTCTGGTTCCGATGTATAGATCATCCACAACGAAGGTTGCCGGTTGATCTTCCACGGGCAAGAAATTGTAAAAAACCTGGAAAGGGTACAAGGATTAATTGCATCAATTCAGTAAAAAGAAGAAGAAAGATTTTCCAGTTCGATCAAATAAAATTTTACTAAAAATATAGTTGCAAAATTCTTCATTATGAAAGATGGGAAGTATCTAAAACTATGAAATCTACCTGGGCTACTGAAACCGACATCCTCTCAACTTTTTCTGGTCATCTGACATCTAAACTGTAACTGTATCTTATTTGTGTTCTTTTTTTTTTTTTTTCATATTTGCAAGTGTTAGCATGTTGTTCCATGCCCATAGTGAGGTTCGAATTTAAATTCCCCTCGAATGATAGACAGATGGCCAAAATATTTAAGACTGTTCTATGCCCATGTTCGAATCATCAACCTATTGTTAAGGGTGGAGGAGTACTTTCCACCCTACTAGAACTAGTGTGGTTATCTAATTTGTGTTCATGCATGCATGCATTAAGGTAACAAGTATTTAATATGGGCCCTCTGTTTGGGCTTCGGTTGAGTGGGCCTCAATTCCAAAAGTGGCAAAGAGGATGTTCTGGTGCAAATCCGACCCAAATTGTACTACTATGTGCTAGCAAAGAAAGTTTCAGCAGCCATAGTTGACCAGTTCTTGCTTTGAAGTATAGGGAATTTTTGCAAATTTCTTTTGGGTGGAAGATATATATATATATATATATATATATATATATATATATGTAAACAAAAGGTATCATTACTCAATTTAACAACATTATAAGCATTTTTAGTGAAGGAAAGAAGCGGACACCAACATATTCATCTATTTTGTTGTAGCTGAATGTGAATGTCTCAATATTGACTAATGATACTACTCTCTCCGTTTCAAAATAAGTGTCGTCCTACACTTTGCACATAATTTAAGAAATTTTTAAATAAGGTAATAAAATTACTTAAATATCCTTAACCAACCCCATTATAAAATTTTCCACCAATAGCATCAACTCTTTTGAGGGTAATTTTGGAAATTTTTGACAAAAATTGTATTGAAATATGAGAAGGACACTTATTTTGAAATTTCTTCATTTTACTAAAACGATACTTATTTTAGAATGGAGGGAGTATAAGATAAGATTCAATTTAGTCATAGATAAAAACAAGAAGTAAATATCAAAGGTGAAAGATACGACAAAGAACCGAATGTGGAGCAGGAAAATGAACATCTCTCCGAGATTTACATGACCAAAATATTTACCTGAACATCTCACTATTCAGTTTTCCATCATATTGTTTGTTTTTTTAGTTTAAGGTCTCATTTTTATTTGGAAAAAAAAAGAAAAGCGAAAAATAAAAATTACAATGGTCACACGTTTTATCATGAGTCAGAATAAGAAATATCGCACGTTTTATAATATGTTTATTTATTACACAATATCAGCATTTTTGATGATGATGGTCATGATTCACTCTGATTTCAGCCATACTGTTCAAATTTGGCACGCAGGATCAAAGGAAGCTCGCCAAACAGAAAGGGAAAACCCTTTTCCATTTTTCCCTTCTTCTGGTTAGTCCTTCAATCTTCACATTTTCACTCCCATTTGAGAAACCATTGAAATTGGGTTCTGGGTTTAAGAGTTAGGTAGAATTTTTGAGGAGACGCTTAGAATGGACCATGATTCAGGTTAGTGAAAAATCCCTCTTTTTTTAATTTTTTTTTTTTAACTACTTTCACTCGCAATTGTGGTTGAATTATTGTTTGGAACAACGAATTCTGTTGTGGGTTGTCTTTTTAATTGGTAAAGTTAGCATTTTTTATTTGTGTTTTTTGGTATGTATTTTTGCAGTGATTGAGTTCTTGGGCTGTGTGCCTTTGCTGCAGAGACTCCCGAGCTCTTCCCTCAGGAAGATTGCCCAAGTTGTTACCGTCAAACATTACGGTAAATTTCATCTCCCTTTTATCCAAGATTATCCAATTCAGCTCCGGAGGTTTCTTCTCTAGCTTGTTTGGCGTTGTTGTATGCGTTGGATCACCGGATGAGTCTGTTCTAAATTGTGTGAAAATGCTAACTCCAATTCAATTCAAATATGTACCTTCATTTCAAATTGTTTATTTGATGTTATGCTTCCAACTGTTGGCATTTGATTGATTCAATGATCAATCTGTACTTTATTTTCTATCCGTTTCAATTGCAGTTTTACCTACCTGCATGTGGTGGTGCCATTTTTCATTTTGCCTTATTTTTTTATTTTCTTTCTTTTTTCGGGTCTCTGAAGAACCTGGAGAGTATGTCGTTCGTGAAGGAGATCCAGGTGATGGAGTTTATATTATATGGGATGGAGAGGTATTTTGGTTACGATTCCCTGCAATGTGTTAAATGACATTATTTTCCTCATACCTGTTGGTAAAAATCTGTAATTTTTCCCAATGTTGAGGCAGGCTGAAGTGAGCTCGATGCATACTGAAGATGAGATTCATCCTGAATTTCACTTGCAACGATATGACTTCTTTGGCCATGGTGAGAGAGGCTGGTTTCATAGTGTATTTTAATTCGTCATCGTACTTCCAGCTTTATGACTCATGATGTACCATAGTTTATTTGATAAATAAACAATCAGTGTTATCCATCATGTTTAATCATTAAGACTCTGGGCAACTGCTATAGTTGAAAATGTTTTCAGACATGAGCTCAAATGCAAGAATGCTTTTCTATTTTTGTTGTTGCAGGCACCATCTCATCTAATCAACAAGCTGAAGTGGTAGCACTGTCTAAGGTAGAAGAACATCATTTGTTTATTACAGTCATTGGAATTAACTTCACAAAATGTTTCTACCTCCGAGATGTTTCCACGTTCAAGGATAACTTCGTTTTTCCTTTTCATTTCAGCTCACCTGTTTAGTGCTTCCTCACGAATATGGTAATTTACTGCAAACAAAATCAATCTGGAATGCAGATAAAGGAGTTGATAACACTTCATTTGTGGAGCAGATACTGCATCTGAAGCCCTTAGAAGTATGTTTTCTGTTCCTAACAATTAACATCATTGAAAACCCTTGCAAAAGTTTCTCATTGCCACTTGATTGAATCCCCTTTCCATTTTGTGACCCCCTCCCTTTTCTGTGAATAAATTTTTCAGTGGCAACTGATCATGGGCTTGAAAAGGATTGTCATTATTTGTTTTTTCCTCCTAAGTTACCCACTATGGCGAGGCTTTGAAACTGTACCTTTTAATCATGAGTTCAGGGGGTTATTCAAATGTGATAATGGAGTTGATACACTTATGCTAAGATTGAGTTTGTTTGAAGTAGTCTATGAATGCTGAATGTAATCTACAATCTTTTCAATGTAAACCGGAAGGTTGTAGTTTCAGCTGTCTGAACTCTGAAGTATGTGAGACGGATGATATTGGAACCACAATAAAATCTTCTTCTTGACATAATTAACTACTAAGAAGTTGTCTCACTGCATGGGATTGGCTGTTTGGATCACATATAGCCATTGTGTTATGTGAAAATAGATGTCTTTGAAGTAGTGAGCAGTGAATGGCCGGCATATTTAATGAACTCCTATTTCACGCGTGTTGAGCAACCTCTTCAAATACTATGCTTGAAAGATTAATGGCATTCCTTAATGGTACTAAAAAGTTAACTATTGAACAACTTCAGAGAGAAGTTTGTAAAGATATGAAAGATTAATGCATGAGCCAAAATTTGTATGAAATAGATGAAGAACTCATTGACAAGAGATCTGCCGAAGTGGTAGCTAGACAAAGCCTTGACATGGTCTGAGATAGAATATACACTTTGAAACTTCGAGATTGAGTTCAAACTAGAGCACTTCACCGTATATGGAAAATTGCTTGGAATTGACCTTGACCTTGATAATCTGGTTGTGTATTTTTCTTTAGTCAATTAATAGGTTCATTTGTTGGAGGTTAGGTGCTCATCATTTGTCAATTAGCTAGGTGACATAAGGGTGCGTGTAGTTGTTTATTATATGTATTCTCTTTTTTCATTTAATAAAATAAAATTGAATTTCCCAAAAAAAAAAAAAAAACACAAAAAGAAGAAGAACTCATTAACCATGGCGACCATGACCCTAAGGATGAGGAAGGGCTTGGAGCTGTTCAGGCAATTTCATTCATAGGAATGTATGTTGGTTTCTCTAATAATTTGCTCTGACTGTTACAGATTTTTTAAAACTTGTCCATTCCGTAAGGGAAGGATTTTACTTGGAACAATGAATGGATGAGTGAGCAAGGTGACTAAAATATTGGGAGGATGTGGTTTCTGTATAATGGTCTCACAAAATATTGGGTGGAGCAGCTAATATATTGCCTGAAATGATTATTTAAAAACCTTTGATTTGGTAATCTGTTATTGATATGGGCTTGACGGGATAACCTGTTCTGCTAGCTTGAAACACTCAATGATTTTAATTATAAAATCTAATTTTGATTGGTTGGTCGCTTGTCTGCAGTTTGGAATATTTAATTCTTTCTGACGCTAGCCTCGAGGATTTTATCTGACTGCTTTGCTAATGATAACGTGTAGGTGAACATCTTCCAAGGAATCACCTTACCTGATGCACCAAGATTTGGGAAAGTTTTTGGAGGACAGTTCATTGGGCAGGTAATAGTTATTATGTTCTCTGAAAACTGTTATATGTTGGACAGCCTTCTAAGGAATTATCGATCACTGTAAAGATCTGTTCATATGTTTCTCTACAGTAAATATACAGTTCCAGCGGTGTATGATAGAAATGCTTGCTATTGCAAAATTTTCTGCCTGGAATATTAGCAATTGCATTCCTGGTGTCAAAATGATATATTATGAGTCAGTTTGACTGTGCAGGATGCATGCAATATAAAGGACTTACTAAACATATTTTAATACAGAAGTTGACTGGGGTATAATTTGACAAAGATACTAGATATTTTTCTTGGTATCCTAAGTTGGTAAATGGGAGTGGACGGGTCAGTTGAACTTGAAAGCCAATGCATGAAATTTGTGACGTACTTTAAATGATTTACAAATTGGATTTGAAAATTTTTTACTATGTATTTAATTTCACCAAGTGAAGTGTAGTGCTTTTATTTGGCCAGGGCAATTTTTTATAGTTTAATCAAGATTGCCATTTCTATTGATTAGAGAACAGTTATGTAGATGTTATTTTGTTATATCTATTTCTGTAGTATCATTACAAAGAAAAGGGTAGTCTCCTTGCTGTTGTTGTGATATTAGATCCGGTACCAATTCGTTCCTTGCCGTACAACCCTAGGCAACTTAATCAGTTGTTGGTTCTTGGAACTGCAACTGATGGATTTATACTAATGGATTGCTGTTTGATTAGTTTGTATTGGCTGTCAGGCACTTGCTGCAGCATCTAAAACAGTGGACTGCCTTAAGATTGTTCACAGTTTGCATGCTTACTTCCTCCTTGTTGGGGACGTGGATAGTAAGTCATTTTCTTTTCAAATGTCCTTAATGACTTTTAGTTGTTATTATTAATTGTTTTGCAAGCTAGAGTCATTAAAAACAAATGAAGATGCATAGGTGTCACAGTCCACCTTTTTTTTTGGGGGTGGTGGGGTGTAATCCACGTATTTCTTTTTAACTGTCTGGATCATCACAAGTCATGCGTGTTACAATCAACTTTGTGGAGAAAATTAAGGAAGTCATTTCTCTTGCAACACAGATCCAGTGAATTGAATTCTTAGGTAGCCCCAAACATAATACTGAAAAGTAAAAATAAAATTGCGGAAATCCCCATGGCTGGATGACCTGGACTGGAAAAATAATGTTTCTTGTTCTCATATTCTTTTCGTAAATGTTAAGCTTTTCAATCTGAAAATTAATTCATCCACTCTTTAATTTCAGTGCCAATTATATATCATGTTCATCGAGTTCGTGATGGAAAGAGCTTTGCTACTCGAAGAGTGGAAGCAATTCAAAAAGGAATAGTTGTATTCACACTGACTGCTTCCTTTCAGGTAGTTGACAACCGTTCAAGACAATTTTATATTTATTCTTACTGTTGCTGCATTCAATTGATGATGACAAAAATATGAGTTGGAGAAACCTTCGAGGTTTGAACATTTGAACTATCATAGTTTCATACTTTCATTTCTCTTAAAGTAAGTGGAACAAATTTTTAACGGAGATCTTAGAGAATTTGGACTTCTTATGATTCCTTGTTCTGGAGATAACTTTCGTCGTCTAGTGGGAAGTAGTTTAATCTGTCATCTCTTATCAGCTTTTAAGGCATAAAGATCCTTCATAAATCTAGGTTTATATACTTATCTTGGAGCTGGCAGAATAATTTTCGGATGCCTAACTTCAATAAGAACTTTGTCACTGGAAGTTATGGTTGCACAGCTCGTAGAAGGATAAAATAATTATGAATGCAACTGTAGCTCGCTCTTTTGGGGATTGGCGAGTTAGCTATTTTGTTTTCAAATGGTCATCCACATGCTAGGGCCTTGAAGCATACCATTTGTTGAGGTGTAGACAAGAACCAACTTAAAAGTATGGAATGTATTTTAGCTTGTCCTGCAGTCAATTTAGTCCAGAATCCAGAATAATTTTGATTTGCATTCTTAACTTCTTTGTGAATTTATTCCCTTCTTTGGTTTCTTTGAAGTGAATGGTGAGATTTTATTTTTTTACTGCAACATTTTGCAGAAAGAGGAAGAGGGCTTCAATCATCAAGATGCAACAATGCCATCTGTGCCCAATCCAGACACGGTAACTTTGATATGCAAAATTAAACACTAATATTACACAGACATGCACATGCACGCACTCACAAACACTTATTTTGCTTGTTATGTTCCCTACTAAATCTGCTTAGCCACATTGATTCTATGCAGCTTTTATCTATGGAAGAGTTGCGAGAGAAGCGTCTGACTGATCCCCGTCTTCCAAGGTCAGTTATTTTCATCTAGTTAAAGTGATAAAAGATAATCTCTCCTAATAGTTCAGAGTGATTATAGCTTTTATAGTACTTTTAGTTGTGAAATTTGTAGCTATCTGAATTCTAAAGTTTGAACCATTTTACCATGACCAATTTTTTCTTTCCAAATTAGTCATGTATTATTGTATTTTTTAGGAGTCCTGGTAACTTGAACTGCAAAGATGTTTTTTGTTTGGTGGTATTGAATATGTTAAGTATTTGCAGGACTTACCGGAATAAAGTTGCAACAAGGAAGTTTACACCTTGGCCAATTGAGATTCGCTTCTGTCGGCCTAATACTTCAACGAATAATGACAAATCACCTCCCAGGTTTATTCCCAATCACTTATCATCTATTTGTTTCCGTCAAAATGGAAACGGAAAGTCTGACACTCCTTTGCAAGAACTATGAAAGTTTGATCTTTTCCAACTTTCTGGTGCAGTTTGAATTACTGGTTCAGAGCGCGAGGAAAACTTTCAGATGACCAAAATTTGCACCGGTAAGAAAATTCTGTCTTTACTCAACTGTCTTTTAGTGAAGTTACAACAGCTTACTGTGTAATCTGAAATATTTCAAATATTTGATTCCATACAGCAGAGATACGTATATCCTCCCCTCAGAAATTATGCCACTCCTATACTTGCATTTATAGTCGAGAGAAAAAGAGAATTCCCCAACTCTATAAATATCAGCATGTCATGATTGGTTAGGCTTGCTTTATTTTATTTTCTTTTTTCCAGAAAAGAAAGTCGCTTCTGGTAAGTTCAGGGTCGTGCTCATCTGTCTTCCAATTTGCCGGCAGTTAAGATCTCTAGAAGCCAATTGGTTGGTTTCCCTATTCTATTTTATTGGAAAAGAGTCAGTTTTGTAGAATGTCGAGATTTAGTAGAACTTATGTAAAACCAACTGACCAGGAGTTGAAGTTTATATCCTCCCGTATCATCCATGAGCCATTGAAAGGGAATCAATCTGATATCAGCAAGATGTTGCTACGATAAAGACATAGTATCACAGGGTTAGTTAGTAAGACTCTCTATGGTTGGCCATTCAATATGAGCCTGCGATTTTAGAAGTTACTAAGTACATCTTTTGTGACTCAATCTTCATATCAACTTTGACAAACCTTCCAAAGATAAAGGGTAACCTGGTAGATAGAAGCTCTGGCACTCGTTGCTTCCAGGAAAGGGTTGGGGACATTCAGGCTATCATGTGTGGCCTTTCCTTGCACTTTTTGATGGCTGATTGAAAGATTGTGACCTTAGTGCTCATTTCAGCAGTTTTTCTGTAGCGCATATGATGGCCATCACATTGCTACTGAGATATGATTTTTCCATCATCATTTCAAAATGTTATCTTGTTTTGCACTAGAAATTTCTCACTCATGGAAAATTTATGTTCTTGTGCTCTCCAATTATTTATTAATAGCATGTCCTGAAGCGCATTAGATGATGTCAAATATGTAGATATTTCATAGTTAAAAAAGTGTAACCCCTTTAATATTCTGAATTCTGTAAGTCTTGTTATAACCTCTCTGGAGTTTTGGTTGCTTGGTTCTGCAGATGTGTTGTTGCGTATGCATCCGATCTGCTATTTCTACAAATAAGTCTAAATCCTCACCGTGAAAAGGGTTTGAAAACTTCTGCAGTTAGTCTGGACCATTCGTAAGTATTCAAAGTTATTCTTGCTTGCTATGCAGAAAAATAAATACATAAAAAATAACAAAATATAATTTTTTGATATGCGTGTAAAGTTGGATTTCTGATAATACTCTGTCAAGTTGTTCCAAAATATGGTTAGAATTGTATAGAAGAATATATAGAGGTCTGGGTAAAATGAAATTACTTTTATATTGGAAAGAAAGGAAATCGTTTTATGATCTTTTTAATGAAACTGAACATGGTTGTTGAAAACTCGAGATATTATGCCAAAGAGTACAATTGTAATTTATAGTTTTGTGGTCCTATTTCTATTATTTATAGGTGAAGATGTATGGTGATATTTTATACCTGAAAAGTTACCATTATAATGTGGCGTGGGAGGGTGGGGCTGCATGGTTAGAGGTTCAACCTGGGTAGTTGTTATTACCATGAGGATAGTTTGTTTGTTGCTGGGGCAATCATAAAAAGGAGGGGGAGGGGGGGGGGAGTGGGTAGTTACCATTACAATACTTGGACTTGGACCAACAATATGAGTTGGATGTCTTGTGTCTATTTGTCAGGATTGATCAATAGAACCGTTGTTGCACCTAATTTTGTTAAAGATCTGAAATCAAACAAGTTTTGTTCTCCCAGTTTCAATGAAGTTAAATATAGGTAGATGTGCAGATGTCGAATGTTTTTCCCTAACATTAACTTCATTTGTGTAGGATCTGGTTTCACAGGTCCTTTAGAGCGGATGATTGGCTATTATTTGTTGTAAGTATCACAAGTTATTTAAATTTGGGCTCGTCCATGTTTTTCCTTCGCCCACTATTATTATCGGAGTCTTATTTTTTCCAAATACCATGTGTAGATACATAGCCCAAATGCTCATAATGCGCGTGGTTTTGTTACTGGCCAAATGTTTACCCAAAAAGGAGAGGTAAATGGTTGATTTCCACATATTTAGAGATTGTCTTTCAGTAATTCATAATCATACTTCCCATTGTTTCCTATGTATGATACGCTTCATGATGTTTTTCCATATCAGCTGGTTGCATCCTTGACACAAGAGGGATTACTGAGGCGCTTAAGAACTCCAGGCTCAGCTATTAAATCGAAGCTGTAATAGAGTCCGTCGAGTTCAATGGTATATTCACACGAAGCCATAGACAGAAATTCTTTGGAGCTACATTGATTCCTGTAAAATAACCCGGAGTTATATTAATGTCTAAACCAGGGGCTCCCTACAACTGCAACATATAGTTTATATGAAATAAGAGCTCAAAGAGGCATTTTTTTCTACAATTAATATGTCTGAATTTCTTGCAAGTATGGTAGAAAGTAGAAACTAATCCATCAAATATGTAACCAGAGGCAATCCACTGGTTAGATCCTCTGGAGACGGGAAAATATAAATAGAAACTTCAGATAAAGAGGAAACTATCCTTGTCAAGTTAGATTAGGCTTCCTCCTATAAGAGAGGAAACTTTCTGTGATATGATAGTTTCCTTACACCAATGTTTCAAGGATGTTACTTCAATTCTTTAGGTGACATGATACCATCCTAATCTTACTAACTTGAAAGCAAATGGTGTTAGCTCCACAGCCACGATTGATCTCTGCCAAACCATTTTGTTACAATAAGTAAGATGCAACTCAAAGTTCGGTTGAATTGTCTCATTTAAAAAATAAATAAATAAATCAGTGTCTGAATAGTACTAACTGCTCTGGTTGTTCAACAGTCACATTAGGGTGAATTTCATCATCCTTTAGCTTTAACTTAAGCTAATTTACCTATGTTGTTTCGGCTCCATTTTTCCTTTATTTTTGTGGGCTTTTTTTATTTTTAATTTTTTCTTCTTCTTGTTTAGTTTTAATTTTTTTTTATATAGGCCTCGATGATTTAAGCCGTATGAATGTTATTGTCCATTACTCTCACTCCAACCAGAGGAAAAGATTTGTATGATTGTAAATTCAAAGGACTGTGTAAACTCATTATCTAATTTCTGCTAATAAAACTTATACACATGGGTTATGACTCAGAAATGAGCTCACTGAATTTTCTTTCATTGAGCTGTCATATTTTAAGAGTCAAAAAAACTATGTTTAAGATTCCAAACGCGGATTATTGTCAGAAAAGTACAAGGAACCTAAGATACAGTTGACTAAGAACTCAGTTCAATAGGAAACGAGTACACCTGTAATTTGTTTTGTTTGACCCAAAAATAGTTTCTTAACATTCCGTGTATAACAAAATATGGACTATTTCTTTTGGTGCGGCATAATTATGTTTCTTATAGAGTAAGTTTTTGATTTTGCCATTTATTGAAAACCTAAAAGTATGTCATGCTAGGCCAGAAGTGGAGGGATCGAATCCCCGTTCCTTCACTTCCCCTTCCCCATTCGCATCTTCTCTCCTTTAATTTAGAATAAGTACATATTGTACTGTATTGTGAGAGTTTCACCCCACTTTGTGTGAAACAAGATACATATAATTGTAGTGTTTCAAAAAAAAAAAAACCTAAAGGAACTTAAAAACCATAAAAGAAAAGATCAAATACTTTTTTAATATGACCTTTTTTTTTTTTTTTTTTGAACCTTGAATAAACCATTGGTATCAAAAGAGGGTTCTGGAAAGTGGAACAGGGCAATTAGATACAAATATGAAGGAAAAGGCTCAGCTAAATCAAACTAATCCACAAGAACCCGAAAGGCCAATTAAAAATAGATGATGATTCATTCTCACACACACTGAAAAAATAATTAAAAACAATAAAGAGCTGCTGACGTTTTTTCTTGGTGGGTACGATTTGTTTTTATCTTGTAATAATAGTTCCTTCTCACAAAGTCGTGCACAGCAAACTTGAACAGTACCCAAAGCCAATTTCATCAAACTGAAAAAGGTTTTCAAGTTCAATTACACGTTTAGTTTTGCTTGCACAGCATGTCCAGCTCGTTTTTGCAATGCACGAAAAGCCAAGTGATCCATGATTTATAAACAATAGTGTATTTCAAGAACCAATTTTTTTCCAACTCCATTTCATAGCATAGCAAGAGCCAACGGCCCTTTGGAAATCTCTGCATAAGTCTTCTTTAATCAAGAGGAAATCCAGTTTCTTTAAAGAGGTTAGCTTATCTGAGTTTGTTTGTGTTTCGGTCCAATCTTTCTTGAAGAAAGATGTTGATCGTGGGTCGATTGGAAGCGTGTGTTTTGAACTGTTTTGAGTAATTAGGATTGAAACAATTTTCCACCTTTGATAGAACAGTTGTGGAAGATTGGAGGCACAAAGTTGTTGATTTTATGAATTTTTATCTGTTTTGTTTTGTCACGATCATAATTCATCATGCCTCTCTGTTTTTTTGTTCTGGAATATAGACTAAGATATGATGAAACTTTGATGCTGAAGTTGTTCTGTCATTTTCACTACTTCTGCTCCAAGTTACAAACTTTTTGAACAATTACAAACTCGGGTTGTGTGTGGTTCACGGGATTTGTACATTGTGTTGTTTGATTGAGGATTAATTAGGTGAATGATTAGCTAAATCCTCCTGTTCAGACGGGTGTAATTTAATCGATTGTGGATCCAGTTAAGGTGGGTCAATTTCTACAGAGAATTTCATTTTCTTAGATCAGCTATATTCTTCATGCAGATTATAATTAGGCCCGAATTTTGGTACTTTGGTTCAATGGAATCAGATTTAGACGCGAGTGGCTCATCTGAAAGGTGGTCTTGCGGGATCAAGCATTGCGACACAGAAGAATCATCCCTCATTCCAGGTCTTCCTGATGACATTGCTTTCATTTGCTTGGCAAGGATTCCCAGACAATATCATCCTGTAATGAAATGTGTTTGTGTGCGATGGAAAGATTTGGCCGATTCTGAAGAATGGTATTCATACAGGAAAAGGCATGATTTGGTAGAGGCATGGATTTATGCTCTAGGCAAAGATAAGTATGACCAACTCTGCTGCTTTGTGTTAGACCCGAGTCGGCCATCAAGAGGCTGGAACCGAATTTCGGGCATCCCTAGTTGTTGTATGAAAAGGAAAGGCATGAGATTTGAAGTGTTGGGAAAGAGGCTTTACTTGCTTGGTGGCTCTGGATGGTCAGAAGATACAACCAATGAAGTATATTGTTATGATGCTGCGACGAATTCTTGGAGCCCAGCTGCTAGTTTATCAGTTGCCAGGTATCATATAGTTTTAGTCGAATAATCTCAACAGTTGATCAAAACCAACATGCTTTGAAGTTCTCATTGGCTTCATTTCAGGTGCAATTTTGCTTGTGAAGCTGTGAATGACAAAATCTATGCAATTGGTGGATTAGGCCCTAACTCAAGGTATCTAAACTCCTTGGATGTTTATAACCCTAAAGAGAATGTTTGGAGTTCTCATGTGTTTCCACACGTCCTTGGCGACGTTGAAGATTCTGTCATCTTGAACGGGAAAATTTACATCCGGTTTGGTTCTAACAATGCTATCGCTTATGATCCATCGAACCATACATGGGAACACGCGGATCCTGAACTGGTTGCGGGCTGGTTTGGTCCGGCAGCTGTTGTTGATGGGAACTTTTATGTGTTGAACCACAATTTAGGTAACCAAATGATGAAATGGGTGGATGATCGAAGACAGTGGGTATCTGTTGGTAGATTCGCGTCGAAAAAAATCCAACCGCCATGCCAGCTTGTGTCAATTGGGAAGAAGATATTGATCATTGGGAAGGGGCTTAATACAACCGTGTTCCATACTGAAAATGCCTGGGAATTACAAACTTTAAGCTCCCCATTTAGATCAACAACCTATGACATAGTAAGTGATATAGATTGTAAATGTGTGGCAATTTAACATTGAAAACTGATCGTGTTCAATTGACATGGCTAAATGATGATGAAACGGAAGTTTATCAAAAATCCAGCCCAAAACGAAGAGTATCTCCAAAATCCACATTGTCTGTATGAAAGACTAATTTTAACATGCTCGAAGAATTGTTTAGGATCAAGATAGAGGGATGTCAGCAAGTTATAATAGAACTTTATCTACATAACGATTGCGATATTCACTGCGTTTCTACCCAGAAGATCTGATACTCTGCTACTGAGTAGAGCCCCAATATTTTTTTAATATTTTTTAGTACGAAAGATGAGATAAATGAAATAGGGATTATTTTGTTATTTTTACATATTTACTATTTTTTTTTTTTTTTACAAATGTGCAAAAACTTATTAGCCTGAGTACGGTCTAAAATACAAGTGTTCGTTGGAGATCAATAGACAGCATAATGGTTAAAATAAACGGAATTTATACGAAATTGACCAGAAAGTGAAACAATTCGGATAAAATTAGTTTCTTTTGGGTTAAATTGGCCATGGAGCTGAAACCTTCGGTCAAAACAACCATTTTTTCGAAAATAGATTGACGAGCTGACTTTATTAAAGTTTTTACTCCAAATAAGTGTATTGAAACAACAAACTAATAGTTGTTTAGTCCTCGTATGGAACAAAGCTTAGATTTTGCAACATATATAGCTCATATATGTGCTTAATGGTTTACACTAGTCCTCTAATCATGCAAATCAAAGATTTCGCATATCATTGTTAAGCTTTGAACTCGAGGGAATTTTTTCATGGATTATAGGTGAATTCTGGTGCTTTTAGGTGACACAACAACCATATAGCTCATATATGTGCTTAACGGTTTACACTAGTCCTCTAGATGGATTAATCCAGAATGTACCTATATATCTGAGTTCATGGATTACAGCTGAATTCTGGTGCTTTTAGATGTTGAACATAGATTAAATTATTTGAAAGATTTAGATGGTAGTAGTATTGTTCGAGAAAAAATTTTTAGATGGATTCGGATTGCCAGTTCTTATTACACTTTTTCTCTCCTTATAAATAACTTCCTATTTTTTTGTACTTGTGGTTTCTATCATAATTTTCTCTCTCCTCTAAATCAACTAAGTAAAGCTTATGTTTTTTGTGGTTTTGTTTTTCCTATTAAAATTGAGGGGAATTTTAGCAATTTTTTAAACAACACATGAAAAAATATCCAAAATTTTCAAACGAACAATGTGTTATATATGAAATTTATAATACTCAACGAAATTTATCATGTTTAATATTTTTTCTGAACGTAAAATAATTAAAATTTTCGGAGCAGAAATAAAGATATTGTACGTTCGTTTAGGAAGATCTGGTATTTATTTTAGATGAATATGTAATATAAAAATGAAGAAAATTGTTTTGTTATAAACTTTTGTGTGTTAAGATAGAAATGTAATAATAGTGAGCTTAAAAATATAGAAAAATAGCACAATTACAATTCATAAGTAACATCAAACAAGTGACAATGTTAATCAATTGAACATTTATCGGCAAAACTTTGATAGCAGACTATCGGCAAAGCTTGGTTTGACAATCGCTTCTTCAATCTTGATCTGACACCAAGCGAACGTCATTTCCCTTATCCTGATCGAATCCTTTGTACATGGCCTTGTAAAGGCCATCTGGAGAAACCTCTAAAATACCATCATCATCTCCCTCAGGCACAATATCGTCGTCATCACACTTGATTCAATTAAGCACCAACAGAAACCACATGAAAAACAACAAAAAAATTTAAAAATGTTAGGTTTTTGTTTTTTCAAATTAGTGGAAATTTGGGTCCTAGTAGAATTAAGATCAGCACACATTCAGAGGTTCAGTAAAAGTTTCAGTAATGTTGTCAAAGGCATCAACTTTGGAATGGAAACGAAAAAATAAAAAAAGCACGATCTCATGTCTTAGAATCAAGAAGAAGACATGGCCATAGGTGCTGATGATCTACGGTAAATTTAACAAATATTTGACGGAGGAAAATGTTGAGGTGGTTGGGGGTCGGAATTTACATTAGGTTGAGGTGATGCCAATGTAGGTGGTCTTAGAATTTCAATAGGATTTGAATCATTTTATGTTTTACATGTTGGATAACACTACAATCTGTAGTTTGCTAGTGAATTCTGAAGGGATTTGAATTTTTGTGTTCCATAATAACAATTATTTCTCCATTTTATTAACTTTGCCAAAATGCTTAACAAATCACGAAAAATACCAAGTAGTGATTGATTCGATTAAATGTAATCTTTTTCTCTAGAATTCAATTATCTTTGTGGAATATATAGGTGCTACTATATGGTATTATTATATTACTAATGTGTCAATCTAAATATCTAATTATAGATTTCATATTAGTATATAGTGCATATATCATTTCACAAGCGTACGAATAGGAGATATGTTACAAAATTCTTAAATTTACCTTAAAGCTATGCTGATAATGGTTTGACATAAATTTTAGAATGGACCTCAAAACGGGTCATTGAACTATTAGATAATTCTAATAAACGTTATCAATCAAATTTATGTGTATAACATGTCACTATACTAAGCGAAAAATTCATCCAAGATCATTCTGTTAATTTTGGCTGTTAAATAGTGACGAAAATCCGTTTTTCACATGCTTTTGGGTTCAAGGTATTTTTCGTTATTTTGTTATTTTAAAATTTTTATTTTTTTTGAAAAAATTATTTTTTTATTTTTATTTTTTACAGTTCTTCTTCTTATATTTCATAACTTGTATTTGCTAGTAGTATAATTTCTAAATTTTAAAAATTAATTTAACTTTCGTATTTTAACTTCTAGATCATAATTTTTCAAAAAAAAAATTAGAAAAATGAAAAAGAAGAATTCGAGTTGAAATAAACATATAAAAATTAATAGATTATCATTTTAAACCAAAAAAACTAAAAAAATTAGCTAAGGCAAGTTATTTCTTCTAGGTTGTTTCATTATTTTCAACTCGATTTAATCATTTAATTATTAATTTTCACGTTTACTTCAATTTGAATTTCTCTTCTTTATTTTTTCATAAACTAGAAGTTAAAATACAAATGACAAATTAATTTTTGAAATTTAATAATTATTATAATACCAACATATACAAGTTAGGAATTAAAAAAAGAAAAAGAATCGTTAAAAAAATTAAAATATTAATATATTTAAAGAAAAATACAGAATTATGAAACTACCCTTGAACCCAAAACCATGTGAAACATAGTTTTTTGTCACGATTTAACGTTCAAAATAGCTTTCAGCTAAGAGGAGTTGTTTCCCCTAGGTTATTTTGGGTGTTAAATCGTGACAAAAAACTATTTTTTCACTTGCTTTTGGGTCCAGGGAAAATTTCATCAATTTATATATTTTTTTAAAAAATATTGATATTTTAATTAATTTATTTTTACAATTCTTCTTCTTTTTCTTCCTAACTTGTATATGTTAGTAATAGTATCATTATTAAATTCTAAAAATTAATTTGTCATTTGTATCTTAACTTCTAGATTATAAAAAAAAAAGAAGAAGAAAAAATATAAAAAAATTCAAATTGAAGTTAATGTAAAAATTAATAATTAAATAATTCAATTGATAAAAAAAATTAAATAACCTAGAAGAAACAACTTGTCTTAGCTAATTCTTTTACTTTTTCTTTTTGTTTAAAATGGTAAACTATTAATTTTCATGTTTTCTTTCACTCGAATTTTTCTTCTTAATTTCTTAAGTTTTTTTAAAAAAATTTATTACTAGAAGTTATAATACAAAAGTAAAATGAACTTTTGAAATTTAGAATTATAGTATCAGTATATACAAGTTAGAAATTATAAGAAGAAGAATCGTAAAAAAAAAATTAATTTTTTTAAATAATTAAAAATTAAAATATAATGACAAAAATACCCCTAAACTCAAAAGTATGTGAAAAATGGATTTCCGTCACTGTTTAATAGCCAAAATTAATAGAATGATCTCAGATGTATTTTTTGCTTAGTATGGTGATCTGTTATACAAATAAATTTGATTGATGACTTATAATAGAATTACCTAATAGTTCAATGACCCGTTTTGAGGTTTACTCTAAATTTTAAAGTAGAGAGGTAAATAATGGAAAAATCTTATTTAATACTTTCTTTAAAAGTAGAACATATTATAAATATAGGAATAAGAAAATCATCTCTAAAACTCTTTATAGATAGAATGAGGGTGGTATCATATAAATCTTACTCGACTAATTATTGATTATTAACTAAAATACAAACATGAACTGGTGATATAAATGATAAGTACATTACGCGTAACCTATACATGAGTAAAATAGACGATAAAAAATTAAGAGACGTGAACAACATTTTCCATAACCTTTTAAGCTTAATCAAATCAATTCAAATCATGTAATTTAGTTTTTATTTTTTTTACTTTTTAGAATTTAATCATATGTTAACAATTGTTCACAATCTATGTGAACAAAAATCAACACACCAATTTTAAATCAATCAACAAGGAATTGAGAAAACTTATATGGATTAAAGTTATAATTATAAATATTAGTCAAGTATAAAAAGGTTTGGTGCTCCGAACTAATTGTAAAGGATTTTGAATGAATATATCGAATTTTTTCTTTTTCAAATTTCTCTCATTAAAATTATCTTCATTTTTTCCCATTCTCTTGCTCTCTCCGATATACATATATATATATATATATATATATTTCTTTTTAACAATCTGAACAAACTCCTATCCATGATATATATATTTTTATGTTAGGAAGGAAGGAAATATTTTCTTTTGCTCTCTCAGATATTGACCCTGAATAAACTATCTTCCTTCTTACTTGGAGAATTGGGTTCATCCACTATTACTTCCTGCCTTGTCTCCAGTAACTTTTCATCATTGCCTCGTTTTGTAGTGTGTTCTCCTTTTTTTTCCTTCTTAGTTGGAAATCTAGATATGTCTCTTACTGCATCTTTCCTTCCTAACATTGAAATTATGGTCCCAACTCTTCTGGCTTTTGAAAAGCTGATGGGCTATAATCATAATTTCCTCCACCTCATGTGAAAAATCTGAGCAAGCAGGTTCTGACCATAATGGGCGTTCGGCAAAGCCCAAGTCACACAACACGGTCAATGAATGGAGTGGATCACATTCAATCTAAAAGAAGCAAGATAATGTTGGAGACCATGGACAAATGGTTAGACATGCTACACGTGATCATGTTCATCAAATAGAGCTGTATTACCAAGATGATCATAACTTGTGAAAACAAAGGTCATCTAGGAGAAACCATCACAAAATTAAGCTCATCCGTTGTTCATACTGATAATGTAGGAGCTTTAAAGAGAAGTTCCAGCAGTAGGAGGAGGGACAGTTCACAGAACGGTTGCAACCTCGCATGATGCTGAACATTCTGCTAAATATGATAATGAATGGGTGTTCGATAAATTTTTGCTACATTCTGGTAAGAAACCATCAACTTGTGATGTGAAAACATTGAGGAAAAATTTCAAGCAAATCGATCATGATGCTGGTGAATCTTCTCATTTAAGAAAGAGTGAAGGGAGTCATTTGACCCATGATGAGAACATAGCCACTCTTACACGATCAAAATCACTTCCTCATGAAGAAACATTTTCAGCAGAGCACAATAAAGTTTATACCCATGCAAGTTCTTTTCAGTCGGACAGTCAGACTAAGCATGTCCACACCAAGTTACCTAATTATGATGATTTGGCTACTCTCATTGCTGCATCAAAAGGCTTGTAAAGAGCATTGGAAGCTGAGATAGTGTGGTTTTACTTAATCAACTTTTATCCATTCTTTATATCTCCTTCTTTGACCTGCAATGCTTGCTCAAGTAGTGATTACTGATACGAGAAGTCTTGCTATACTCGAACTGTTGCGTGGGTAGATTAGATAAATGACTTAATTAATACCACTAGAAAGTTTGCGCAACTGCATTTTTAGCTTATGCTATTGACATAATATACTATATACATAGATGAGGTTCCCGGTACACACGCTATTGTATAAATGTACCCTAAGGATTCTTTCATATGACAATTAAGGTACATTTCAAGGTTGAGTTTTTTCAAAAACAAAACCTACGACAAGTAACTTAATATAATTTTTAAAAATTAATAATTTAGGAATGTTTCAACATTTAAACTAACCAAATCACCATCAATTAATAATTAAGTTTCTTTATTTATTTTCTACATTCCACAAATACGTATAAGTGTATATATAAAAGAAGTAATGATACACAACTCACCTAATTCATCTCACCATTGTATCTCACCTTATACGACATTTAAATATTGGGTAAAATTTTATAAGTAATTTAATTATTTTTTATTAAATGTATAGAATTTTTATTTTATACCAAAATTTTAAAATAAATAGACCCTAATCACGAAAAACGTAAACCATTAAAAGAAAAATTATAATAATACAAATGATTTATCAGTTGGACCAATATTGATAAGAATTATAATGTTTAAATTGAATTACTTAGATGTGATGTAGGAAGTGGTGAACCAAGTGCAAGAAATTTATTATCCCTTAAATGATTGACATGTAAGGTGTCACCTAACATGTCAATCATTTATTGGACCATAATTTTCCTCTTGGTGCACCACTTCTTACACGGTTAACCACATCTAAATAACTCAATTTTTAATATTATATTAATTTTTTATCAATATTAGTCCAATTAATAAATCATTTGTAATATTATAAATTTTCCCTTAAAATTTTAGATATAATAATATTTAAAAAGTCTATAAATTTAAAAAAATAATTAAATTCACTTATAAAGTCCACCCAATAATTAAATGCCATATAATTAGGTGAGATTCAATAGTGAAATGAATTAGGTGAGTTGTATATCATTACTCATAAAAGATGGTGCAATAATGTATTGCAATGTTAGTTAGTAGTTTATAAAGAGTTGGAAACCAGAATCTAAGGAATTTAATGTGTATAGATGGCATAATGCGGTGCGTTATTATTTATTTATTTCAATATATTTTCATTGTCCCCAAATATACGAAACTTTACTGTTATGCGGACGGTTCCTACTGGGAAATTCACAAGGTCCTTTTAGCCTCAAACTTGTGGCTTTGTAAAGTGGGCTAGCAGATAGATTAGATTTGAAAAGGGCTCGAAAAGAAGAGCAAGCTGATATCGAGAAAGGCAATAAAAACATGACGTTCCCTATACAACAGCTTCATGATGATCTGTTCGTTGACATACTTCTAAGATTAGACCTAAAAAGTGTGTCCGTTTGTCGATCCGTGTGCCGAAACTGGAACCGAATCATAACCAGCCCCAATTTCATCAACGATTACAGGGAACGATCCATAGCTAGAAACAACCTTCTGGTTTTCATGGCCGGTACCAATAAGAGATGGTGATTTGCTAGGGTTGACCCTACTGACTTGGACGTCGAAGGACATTCAAAAGAAACAGCGGATGTCCACTTTAGCACCGTTGGTGTCGAGGCGGACCGGGGAATCGCGATTTACCCGAGCTCTTGCGATTTGGTATGCCTCAAAGACTCGAACGATATCCGAGTGTGTAACCCTAGGACCGGCGAGGCGGCTGTATTTCCTAGCCCTCGTTCGCAAACAACATGAAGTATAAGTTGGTTGATGTGGTGTTTGACTATGTGGCTTCTAGACAAAAATACTTGGTGTTTTCTGTATGCAAAACTCGTGGTGAAAAAGCTGGAAGAAAAAAATATCGGGCTGAAAAATTCTGGTTTAGTAGTAGTAACAGTAGTGTTATTACATCGTCGTCGTCGTCATTGCCACAACCATGTTGGGAAGAGATTGAAGAAGATTTTCCATGCCGAGTATTTAGTGGGAATTTAATAAATAATGCAATTTATTGGTTAATAGATGAATCATCTTCAACAAGAAGAGGAGGAAAGAATGAACTCATTGTCACGTTTGATGTTGATGAAGAAAAGTTCAGAATCATAGACGGTCCACCGTTGTATCAGGATGATGATAATAGCTTTCGTTTGATTGAGGTCAAAGGAACTATGTGCTTAACAGATTTCAGTGCAGTTTGCATGACAAAAACTTTGGAGCTTTGGGCTTTGAGATTGGACAAATGGGTGACAGAGTATAAAGTTGAGTTGGAATTTCCACTTCCAATGCCGGGAAGCAGCAGATTTGCGACGAGGAACTGGTATGATATACATCCCAAGTCTTCGGGAGAAGGAGAGCTTATTATAAGTCGCAGGTTAGCGGAATGTACTACTCCTGCCGTCCCATAATTATTGTAACCGGATATACCCCTACATAAGTAATTATTTAACCATTAAGATTTTATGGATAATATTTTTTACTAAGGACAAATGTGTAACTTGATCCATAAAAAGTCAAATTGAACAATAATTTTGGGACAAAATTTTTTAGGCAAAGTGGACAATAATTATGGGAGGGAGGGAGTATCTTTTTAATCCTAGAGACGAGAAAACTTAGGCCAGCCATTGCGCCTTTCTCATGCGGCGGGTTTACGGCAGCGAGTTTTTTCAGTGAAAGTTTCTTCTCTTTGGCCGATTTGAAACAAGACAAAATTCACTAGATCGACGAATTATAATGCGTGCATCCGAGATTCAAGAATTTATTCACCGGAGATGGGTGCAAAAACACAGTGGAATAATGACTTGTGTAAAAGAGACTTTGTTTGCGGTGAAAACTGAAAAAGCTTTAATATGCTACATCAACTACAAGTTGGAGCCAATAGGTTATAAAGGTCTTTTACAGGGAATACTAGCCAATTATTGGCATCAACTACATCAGCTCCCAAAAAAAGAAAAGGAAAGAAAAAAGAACAAAAAATTTTCGTGACATTTTTTTCAATTTCTATTTACATTACATTCATACACGTTTGAGTTATTCTTATTTCGATACTTATTTTGCTTTCTTATTCTTATTTCCATACTGATTTTGTTTTTGGTTTTTTTTTTTTGGTTGAGATTTAGTCTTCTATTTCAAAATATAGTTTTAATGAGACGAATGAGTATTAATTTGGACATTGTATCAGAAAGGTCAAAACAAGGATGGTGGACCAAAATAATAGAAAGTTAGGGGTGCTTTTATTTTTTTTTTATTTTTTTTATGCAACAAGTACATGCTTTTTCTAATTGTCCCTAAAAATTTATATAGCGTGGTTTACTTCTCATTATTATTTTTTAGATATATGTATAAATACTGATGAAAAATAAATTAAAGAGAATAATAAGGTTGTTTCTCAAAAGTTAATTTTATTGGTTTATTGGTTAATCAATTCTCGTGACGGTATTCAAAATTGGTTTCCATCTTTAGCAAGGAGAGGAAAGAAGGAACTCATAGTCGCATTTGACCTTGATAAAGACAAGTTTAGGATCATAGATTGTCCACCGACTCCGTACTGGGAAAATTAAACATCGAAACATCAATGTGATTGACGTCAAAGGAACAATGTGCGCGACCGATCGATTTGCATACATCTTGAACCCAGAAACGAAAACACTTATTAGGATTGCGATGGAGCCTCGTCCTACTATCCGTTATTGGTGAGTTTTCTTTTATAGTACTCCCTCTGTCTCAAAATTATTGTCCAGTTTAAAAATAAAAACTCAAATTGGACAATAATTTTGGGACAGAGGGAGTAGTTTCTATTTTCTGTGGAAGCTGGAGTTTATTTTTAAGGTTTTTTTTGGTTAATGGTAAAATTTATCACTCAACCACGCTCAAAACTCTATGCACATAAAAAGTTGTGTTTTGTGATTTTTAGCTAGCCTGTTTCACAGTGATTGGATGCTATTGCAAGAGTGATGGTTTTAAAATGTAAACGTATGTGATTGAACCTTCATCATGTCACATGTTTAGGTACTTAATTTGAAGTGTCTCGTAGCTTTCTTTCTTCCCTTTTACGAAATCTTGAAATGGACAGAGGCGCAGTCCGGACTCCGGTGAAATATTGGATGCCGGCTCATCACCGCTTCATCACCATGTAAGTACATCCTCAAACCTATTCCTTTCAGACAAGATCTCTAGTTTCACAAAATAATCCCTTCAAAAGATTATCAAAATGGATGTGGGATTGGATCGGTGAGTATTGAGGGCGGGTTGGAGAACCCCTTTCTCTTCCCTCATGCTTAGTGACACTCCCTAGCACACTAGACACCCATGAAACAAACAATGAGAAACATACCTCTGAGGTTTTACTACGTAGACCGTTCGCCAAATACATACAAAGTACACATTGATCATGAAGGAGGAAGAATCCATGAAAGACATCACACACCATTCTACACCATCACAAACAACTTTGCATTATTTGTCTCTATGCGACAATCAAAAGCAGCAATGAATAACCAACAGATCAAATGAGGAAAAGATGACAATCATCATCAATTAAATAGTTCAATTATGCATTAAATAGCAGCAAAGAGTAGTTCAACAAAGAACGGATGTTCAATCATTTATTTGTAACACATTAAAAACTTAAAAGAGTCTTGAGAAATGTATATAATAACAGTTCAACACGCCACCCCCTGGAATGGATTCCACCTTCAAGCACTCCGCATCATCATATTAAAGGTGCTCGTTGAAGTCGCTTCATCCTTCAAGCACTTGTCGATGTATTCGCTGAAGGAGTTAAGCCCTAGTCTCTTACGGTAGCTGAGATACAGACTACAGCAAGGAAATACACACGGCTTCTTATCCCGTGTAAGAACTGGCTCACAATCACCGGGCAAGCAAAACCTCACTTCATTATGCTTCACGGATAGATTACTCTGCTTCACCATTAGAGCAAGATCAACACGACCACAACCCTCACCCTTCTGCTCCTCCTCCTCCTTAACCTTGTCGTCCACATCCACGCCCTCAACCTCACCCTCATGATCCTTGTCCTCCTTCTGATCCTTCTCCTCCTCCTCCTTAACCTTGTCGTCCAAATCCACGCCCTCAACCTCACCCTCATAATCCTTGTCCTCCTTCTGATCCTTCTCCTCCTCCTGAACCTTGTCCTCCACACGACCCACACCCACACCACCCGCCTTAGTGTCACTTTTACGATCCCTGTCCTCCTTCTTCTGATCCTTGTCCTCCGCACTAATTCCCACACCTCTATTCAAACGCAAACTCTTTGTATAACGACGCAAACTAAAAGGACCATATCTACTACGAAAAGTAGGGGGCTCATGAACAATACAGTAACCAACAAAGCTTTTCTCAATGTTGGGATCGTCAACTGAAGCAGCGGTGAAGGTAATATGATACTTTTGTATGATAACATGTAGCCTCAAAAGACACGTTCTTAACATTCCTCCCATCATACCTATATTTTTGCAAACATCCATTCATACATTAGAAAGTTAATAATTACCACCAACCTTTACCACTCTGTTATTATAAAATCTCAACGTGAATAAATCCATTCATCAGGCAATAAATTTATTAAAAAAAAGGATTACTGACAAAATCAAATCAATCGGGCTACCTAAAAAAGCAACCTTAACTTTGAACCAGAGCATTGAAATAAAGGGTAAATTTAATACTCCATCCTGAAATTATTATCCAATTTAAATTTTCACTTTTAGTATAATTTCTAGTAGAAATTATACTAAAAGTGAAAATTTAAATTGGCTAATAATTTTGGAACGGGAAAATATAAGGTACCTGCATTGGTGAACTATTCAGTTTTGTAAACCCCACTGAAGTACTAATTTGTTTCCCAAATCGGAAATCGCCTCCATACACATGCACCAACTCAACCGGCCGAAACCGAGATAATAGTTCTTTTATGGCCCATACTAACCCCGCTTTACACCAAAAGCATTGTCTTGGTCCATCACTATTGTTACTACGTACACTCTGCTTATTAATCTCAGTTTTCACATTTTGACCACCAAAATTCCAATCTAATTGCAACCTTTTAGGAACAAAACCTCAAGCCTTGGCACCATCTTGAACCATCTTTTGCAGATCATTCCAGGTCTAAATCTTCAAAATAGATCAATTTAAGAAGTAGCGCTTATATAACTCTTCTTACATCTTATTTTATTTTTCTTCTTCTTTCTTTAGATTCGACAGTGACCACAACTATGTGCAGGCTAGTACGAGGTTATGGGTTCAAGGTTTGAACCCTTTCTCTCCTACATTCCCTTTCTCCAATTTCGTTCCATCGGTACAAATTATATGCTTTTTTTTTAGGAGTTTCACCTCTTTTTGTGTAAAGTTATCATCTTGAAATCAATAAAATGAATTATAAAAAATTAAATATTGGACAAAAGATTAGTAACTCTCTGGATCGTGGACAAATACGTTGTGTTAATTCATAGTGTGATGTTGATATGCTTATATTTTACCTATTTATTATATCCCTAATTTGTGATTTTTTGCAATATATTTTGAGTACAAATATGCTATTTATGTGGTTTTATCTTTAATTGTAGGAATTGTACTCAAATGAAGAATTGTTGAAGTTTTGAGCTAAAATCGAATTAAAAGCAACTCAATGGGAATGAATTGAACATTGGAGCAATTGATGGGGAAGAAATTAATGAGTTTAGAGAATTGGAGGGCCAATCATGCAATTTTGCAATTTGATTCTAATTTTTGGAAAATTGGCCGAAGGTTACGTTGGTTATGCGGCCGATTTGGGATTGGAATTGGATAAGAATTTTAATTCCGATATTAATTGGGAAATAAATTTTTCTTGTTCTTCAAGGAGTAGGGTTTAGCCGGAAGCCTATAAAAGGGGGATTAGAGATTTATTTTTACAACAGAACTGAACCGAAACTTGACCGAAAACCACCGAACCCTACGGTTAAAACCTCCATCACCGCCGACCACCACCAAACTCCCTCCTCCTTCGCCGCCTTCCTCTTCACCGCCGCTGTGCTTCCATAACCACCACGCAGCACCAGCCCTCCTCCACCTTTTCACCTCTCTTCGCAGCATCATCACCACCTCTACTTTTTCACCGCCACCGAACTTCCTCCTCTTTCACCGGCAGCCTCCTTCTCCACCTTGTCTCCCTCGCTCACACACCATCTTCCCCCGCTGCAACTCTTCTCCGCCTTCCTCTTCACCAACGCAGCCAGCACCACCGCAGCACCATCCTCCTCCCTTCCCACGCGGCCTCACCTTGCTGTCCTCTCACAAGCCCCAACATCTTCTCCTTGACCATTACCGCCGCGCAGCACCACCCTCCTCCATTCCCACACAGCAGCAGCAGCGAACACTCACCTTGCTCCCTCTATCCACCGTGTTTCCTCCCATCATCATCCGCGCGACAAGAATCCGGCGAGCCAAGCGGCGGCTTGACTTGATTCTAAGCTTTTGGTCACTTCGGCAAAAGCTTTTCGGGTTTCATATTTCAGTTTTATTTTATTTTCAGAATATTTAGACAATGAGCATTATTAATTTCACTTTGTTTTTGATAATGTTTAGTGGTTAAATTATTTTAATCTAGGGCTTGGGTGTAGCCACCGAATTTATTTGGTTTATTTAGTTTATTTTTATTTGATTTTTTCATCAATTAATATTTGTTATTCTTGTTTTAATTCGTGTAAGTAATTGGCCACTATTTGCATGTCTGAAGATATTAATCGAAGTAGCGAGAGTGGAAGATTAATATTAGTTCGTAAGAATAATAAACTTAGGTTATAAGCTACGAGAGTAAGATTATAACCTTTGCAATATTTGATTCTTAATGGTCTTAATGTGCTTTTGTTAATCTCTATAGTCACGAGTAGTCATAGGGTTAATATAAGTAAGAGAATTATAACACGAGAGTGTATAATTCTTAATTAGGTGAATCGTTGTGAGATTAATGGAAGTTAAAAGTCAGATATTTGTGAATTGAACTCAACCAAATATTCGGTAGGTGAACCCAATGTCCTAGGTTTCCTTTGTCTAATTATTTGGATTAATATTATTTGTTTTTATTTTATTTAGTTTAGTTTTAAATTTTATAACTCTGAGATCATCATTTATCTAGATAATAATAGGAGTAATTTATACCTGATAATTAGTATTCCTTCTCTGTGGGATCGACCCTGCTTTCTGCTTTACTACTAGTAATTGTATTAAGTAGGTAATTATTATTTGACTAGTGTGACGACGGCTTGTCAAATTTGGCGCCGTTGCCGGGGAAGGCAGCTAATATCGAATTTAGATTACTTTCTTTTATTAGTTTAGATTTGTTTTTATTTTATTTTATTTTATTGTCTTACTATTTTAGTGATTTCTTTTAAATATTTTTGTCTTGTTTTTATATGCGAAGTGCTAATTCTGAGACTTTGCAATTTGATCCAGAGATAGAAAGAACAGCTCGTGCGAACAGAAAGGAAGCAAAACTAAGAAAAGAGCAGAATCAGAGTGAAACCATGGGCGACAGAGTAAACACTCGGACACTGAGGGATTACTTTACACCTACGGAGAATGTTGCTAGGTCAAGTATTACTAGGCCTACCATTGCTGCGAATACCTTTGAGCTCAAGCCAGCATTGATCCAGATGGTGCAGCGGAATCAATTCTCGGTTTTAACAATGAGGATCCGAATGCGCATATTGATAACTTTTTGGAGATCTCGTGATCTGTTAAGATAAATGGTGTAACGTCGGATGCAATCCGCTGAGACTTTTCCCTTTTTCATTGAGGGAGAAGCGAAGAATTGGTTGAATACTTGCGATCCTGGTTCCATCACAACTTGGGATGAGCGGTACAAAGAATTCTGATCAATTTCTTCCCACCACATAAGGCGTGAAATTGAGAAATCAAATTACTGGGTTTATTCAAGAAGATGATGAGACATTTCATGCTGCATGGACAAGATTCAAGGAATTGCAAAGAAGATATCCTCACCATGGTATTGAGAAAAGTACTCTAGTTCGGACTTTCTATCAAGGATTGACGGACTTTGCAAGAAACAATGTGGATCTCTGCAGTGGAGGTTCATTAATGGATAAATCAATTGATGATGCCTATGAATTGTTTCAAATTATGGCAAAGAATAGGAATCAATGGTCGAACTCGAGAAGTGTTTCCAAGAAGCCTGCTGGAATGTATGAAGTCAATGAACTAAGTGCCATGAGCGCAAAGATAGATGCACTGACCAAGGCGATGGGTAATCTTGTAAATGCTAATGCAGTCTTCCATGCCACTGTCTGTGAGTTCTGTGGAGGTCCTCATTTGAGCTCTGAATGTATGCAAGTGGCAAGTGCACAATATGTCTCTAATTTTAGCAAGCCTCAACAATGAACAATCCTTACTCCAACACATACAATCCTGGGTGGCGAAATCATCCAAACTTTTCTTGGAATAATCAAGGGGCTCAAGACTTTAATGTAAGACCTCAAAACCCTCCTGGTTTCCAAGCAAAGTCACACCAATCCGCGCCTAAGACAGCTACGGAGGAAAGTTTGGAGAGAATGGAGAAATTGTTGAGTGAAAACACTGAACGGTTTAACAGAATAGAATCAAGGTTAGATCAATTGACTACCGCTCATAGAACCTTGGAGATGCAAGTGAGTCAAATGGCCTCCGCCATGAATACTCGTGGGCAAGGTCAACTGCCAAGCAAGTCTGAAATCAACCCTCGTGAAAATTGTAGTGCTATCATGTTGAGAAGTGGGAAGCGGTTGGGTGACAAGGAGGAACCAAAGACCACCAAGTGAATGAGACCACCGATGAGAAGAAAGTAGAGAGTAAGCAGATTAATGAAGAAAAAGTGGAGAAAGTGGAACAAGAGGAAGAAAATATATATGTGCCACCACCGCTTAAACCTTATGTTCCACCAGTGCCTTTTCCGCAGAGACTCCATATGACCAAGCAAGATAGGTTGTTTGAGAAATTTTTGAAAATTTTTAGGCAATTGCATATTAACATTCCTTTTGCAGATGCTTTAGCTCAGATTCCAGCGTATGGAAAGTTCTTG